GACATAACCACTGTTACTCTGTACCATGCCACTTGAACTGACACATTCTTTTATCTTAGCATTTCTTTCTTTTCCTTTTCACTTCTCCAAACATATGTCAGTTTATATGTACATATACCATACATACAAATCAAGTTCCACCTTGTAGCTGGGCCTCTTAAAATTCAAGTGTGCTGTAAACATATGGATAAATTTTGTAGTAGAATTTTTTAAACATCAAAGAAAAATGTTCACAGAAATGTCCTCATCTGTATTGCAAGTGTAGCAAGTGATGTGACATGCACTGTACTTGATCCAACAGATATCTTTATAGATATTCTGATTTTGTTTGTTTCTTTTAGATGATAAGACTTCAATATTGAACTATAATATTACACACTACTGAAGGGTACAGTTGTATCCATACTGTGTTTTCAGTTGGTTGAAAATGTACTTTTGTGCAACAAGGCTAAATTAAACATACTTTTTTTATAACAAAACTGATGGTTAGTTCATTGGTAGGATATTTTGTCCTGAGGCACATCTGTGATTGTAGACATGTTAAAATAAGTCCCAAAATTTCAAAATGAATGATTAATACATGAAATAGAACATAGTAAGAACTAAATGATTATCAATTGAAAGCCTATAAAAGAAATGCATTTTCAATTATTGCTCTATCCATACCAGTTTGTTTTTAAAGTCAAGTATACATATAGAAGTATATTGTATATTACTTACTTACATAGAAGTTAGAAGATATATGTAATGATTAATATAAGACAGGTGAATGAGGATGTTGTCAGATATAAAGATATGCAGTTATTTGTCTATTTTCACTTAGTCTACTTTGTGTCTATCTATACTACTTATATCAAGACTGCTACTTAAATATATCTTTATTACTGACTATATATCAGACAATGATAGCAGCGAACTTGATGAAATGAGTGTGTGTGAAAGAAGATAAGTGTACATACTTTGTGAATGTTGGGAAAAAAAGAGTAAACCTTACCATAGATTTAAGAAATTTTGTTTTCATCTTAATTAATATAAGTAGCCAGGGTTGCTTCTTATATAGCACAAATATGAAATGATATCTTATTTTGGAGAATTTAGAAATCAGTTTCCAGTAGATTATGAATAGAACCTTTGTCTGAGATTAAGAAACATGTTTGCCCCTCATAATGTTACTATCAATGAGCCACACCCATCACTAACTCGAACTAGGTGCCTAACTAATAAAACTTATTAGTATAGAAAAAAGGTTAACAGCAAAAACTATACAGAAAAATAATATTTGTTAAAGAAAAGTTGCAGAGCTGCTGAGATGCTATAGGTGGAAGATGATGACACTGGGCTCACATTTTCCAAGTCTTCAGGGTGTGTTTATATGTAACGTTAGGCTGTGTATCTACTACAACAATAGCACTTAGACCATGTGGCAATATTTTCTTAACATTTCCACATGAAAACTAGAAAATAACATTATCCATGTATACATACAAGAAACACATATATCTGTGTATCAAATCTGTCTTAACTTCCATATCTACAATAACTTAAATGCCTAAATAGTTAGAAAATACAAAGTTACAGATCCATTTGATATCACTTTCCAATATACATCCTCCTAGGTGATACATATATATATTAATAAATAGTGTGTGTTATGGATATGTTGATTAGATAAGTGATTGACACCTTTAGTTAATTACATATCACCTTATAATAAACATGGAAAATGTATATTAACTGTGTAGTATGTGAAATGTTAATTACATGTTAAGATGTAACACCTGCCATTACCCTATTAAAGACATGTAGTTGATAAATTAAAGATACATGTGGTTGATTAAATGATTAAGCATGATGTAAAATTTTGATTTACATGGATGATATGCAGACGTTATCTGGACTTTATTTTTTTTTTTTTGTATTTTTGTTTTGCGGTTTATGATTTATAATAACAAGTTAGATATTTACCTGCACTTTACCCGTGATGGAGGCTGAATATCCACACACTTAACCCAATTCTTTATTTTCTTGTTGTATAGTGCTGAATTGAACATCAGGTTATTGTATAGGCCTATCCCACCAACCTAATGCTTTTATTGAAAACCAAACAAATTAAAGTGCATAATTGAAGCACAAATGAAAAATATGTATACACATCACTAGAAACACTAATAATAAGAAGAATTTGTTTTGAAGAAATTGATTGATTTTTGTTTTTATTTTAGCATTGTGCCATTTTTTTCTATTTTTCCACTTGTGCCATTACAATCTGTTTAGGCATTGAAATTCTTTTCAAATTTGAAAGGTATTTTCAAGAAAATACTGGTGACAAACTTCAGTTTGATTGATGTATTTTCATTTAGGGTAATATAAGTGTATTTTATTATTAGATAATGATTCTTATAGATTATATGTAGATTTGATTATCACATCATAAGTGTTTGAAGGAAGAGAGAGGAACACATGGCATACTAATTCTTTACTGTCTGTATAATACATGTATTTTATATTCAAGATGTCTGGTGAAATTCCAAGGGGAAAAATCAAATTTATTTATAACTTAACAGTTAATGTGTTTTAATGACTTTTATGTTTGTCATTAAAGAAGTATTAAAAGTATGTGTAGACCAGTACTGTATTTGATATATTAACTGCTCAAAATATATTAACTGTCAGGCACTTGCAAATACTGTTTAAAAAAGGGAAAGGTTATTACAGCGAATCTTGCTGATTTCTTTAGCTTATATTGGGTTTATCATACAGGGAGGTTTGATATGCCAATGTTGCTTTTGGTATTATGAGAGGGTTGGTGCTTTATATAGGTTATTATGTAGCATACTGTATATGTGACGAATATCTGATCCCTTCATGAAAACTTGAAAAATAAATTCATACTGGCAGTTAGAATTGCTAGTTAATCCTGGGAGTATAAATAAAGGGAGCTGTAGAAGCTCTGATTAAAATTGGAATTTTCTTGCATTATCATAGAAGCTTCGGGTTATCACTGTTCTTATCATTAGGACACATTGACGCAATATTTAATGTATTATTCAGGAACTTTCTATAAGCTTGAACAGACTCTCAGTTTGTGACTATGACAATTAGTTCATATGGACAGAAATAACCATGTCTGTGATGTGATGATGTGCTGTTAATCATTATCATTAGCTTTCTGAATCTATGCTGATTTCACTCTCATTTCATCCTTATTTAACACACCACATAGGATCTATAATAAAATTTAATGTCTGCTACATTTACCTTAAATGGTCATCTTGATACCTTTTAGTAACAATAACAAAGGAATGAAAGCTGTTTGTGGCTTGGAGCAGACAGTTCATCATTATAAGTAGATTAGCAGTAGCTAAGATGTCTGATCTACCTAAACTGGCCTTCTCCATAATTTCCTAGTCAAAACATTTTGAACAAAAATACATAAAGCATGCTATATAGACTTCCTGACCATCCTCCAATAACTCATTTATGGAAGTTTTTAAGAAAATTATTTTGTATGAAACTTTAATGTCAGGTTTTGATTTTTTGACAGTTTCATTTTGCCTGTCATTGAAAATGCCTAGCTAAAAAATTGTTTGCATGAAAAGATATAACTTAAAGGTATTAAACCCATTTGATTCAGGTGAAAATAATGAATAGGGTTGATCGTATGTGTTATTTTGAAAGATGAACCTGAAGTAGTTGTTTATGAATTTTCGTTTAATTATATCTCTATTTTGGCTTTGGCTTCATGTATCACGGTAAATCGATGAAAGATTGTAAACATAGAAAGAAAATCAACATATAAATATCATTGAAATCGACAGGTTTATTTTTAATCCAGGTTTAACAGGAATTATCAATAATGTTTAGAACTCAGCAAAGCAAACTGATAAACAAATAGATCCCCACCAAATAGACCCTCTCCAAATCAAGAACAACAATTTAACAAAATAACAAAGTTTGTTATATGCTAGGTTCACCCTGTGTGGTAATGCCATTCTAGGTTCATCCTGTTGTCATTTACTTGATGTCACACTGATATTATGATATGGTATATGGTCTACTAACTGATTCAAAATAAAAACATTTGTTGTAATGTAGTTGCCTTAGAAATGAGAAGTTCAGTTTTAACTTAAACTATATATAGATTTAAGAGAATAAAGCATATAAATCATTCAATCAATAAGAAATTTGATTTGATTCTAAACCTGTAATGACTTAAGTACCTGTCTGCCAGTAATTCCCAGACTCTTTCAATGCATATATTCTTGTAATGATTCCAACACTAGAAAAACTCAAGGGAATGAAAACTTGTGTTTCGAGAATGCCAAAGTTTTTTTTGAATGAAAATCATTAAATATACATTCTGATAGGAACTAAAGGGAATATTTCAAATTTATGATGGCCATTAGTATTTTTTATAAATAATTTAAAGCATGATAAGATGATTACTTATCGGTTAGCTGCCCATAATTATTTTTTAAGTTAAAATCGTTTTGCAATTTATAAAAAGAAGGACCTTAACATTATCAATTCTACATTTTCAGATTAAGTGTGTGTGTAAAGCATTGAAATATGGTTGATTTTCAGGATTGAAATAAGGATTAATTTTTTTTTGTGTATTTTAACTATAACATGTTTTATAATTATGTCTGTGACTGTCTCAAGATTCTTGATGTGCAAGTAGAATCTTGTTTAAAATAATTCACATTTGAATAATACCATTAGGTTTTATTGGACAAAGAATTGTTATATTTGGATGTTTTGGATGGTACTATGAAAGTGACAAGTTTAATTTATGTATTGAAGACATCACACTATGAACCATAATCCATATTGACATTAATTTCATTGAAATATTTTTTTCTGTTGTTGGCTTTTTACATAATGAGAATAGAGGATACATATTATCCAAATGTCATAAGCTAATTGCTTATAATAACCTTTATTATAGATTGGCAATGTTCGCACAATGACTATTTTGACTTTTGGTTTATCTATTTCAGCGATCTTCAAATGTCTTCCATTTGTAATTCTAGTGACACAGATATTGGCACTTAAGAATGGAATTGATAGAGGTAAGTTTTAAGGATTTCTATTTTTAAGAGTATTTGATAGAATTCCAGCTGAGCTGTGTAATAAAGTAAAGATATAACCCTCTATATCTCACATCTATGCTTTATACAGTTGTAATTTATCAAGTGCATTATCAAGTGTTTTGTTTTTCGTGAATTATAATCTACCATCAAGATATATTTCTTACATAAATGAAAGATATTAGTCGCTTTTTACAGCGATAGGTATCTAGTTAGTTGGCAAATCATATAAATTAGTTCTGACAAGTTCTAGCTGATTTATTTTCTCAAGGAACTTTTTTAGTTGATTAAGATTTTAAATATTTATTATCAAGTGAAAGCTGAACTGATAACTTGATCTCTCTGTTGTATTCCGTATCCATAGATATTATGATTATAGCCACGCCAACTAATCAATTGTGAAGTTGTGGATTGAAACATCATGTGGTTCAAGATAACAGGTAATCTTGGCTGCAGTGGTTACTTATGTCACAGGTGCTTTGATAAAATGAGGTAGCTCATCGTTGAAAGCTCTTCAAAATTATTTAAGTGGTAGTTGTAAAACTTATCTTCCATACTTCTCATTATTGAATACAAACAGAGGCACCACTTTATTCAAGTGTTTCCTTAGAGATTCTAAATATGATTTAAATGTTTTATTAGAATATGCAGCAAAAGTATTCATCCAACAGTATGCTCTCATTCAGATCATGTCTTGTTAACAGAATGAGGACAGTTTTTCTACATTTGATCATTTATACTGATTTACTTGTCTCATTCCGAGGCAAATAAAATATTGCCTTTTTATACACCCACATTGTCGTTGCCCCCGTCTGTCCGTCATCCATTGTCCACAATTTCTTGTGAACACTCTACAGACTACATTTCATTTCTTCTGGAGTTATGGCCCTTGTTTCACTGTATTGTTTGTGAACAACATATATTATTATCCGATCTGTATGAAATTTACGTGCATCCTTTAAATTAGTGAAACAAAGAAGCCTATTGAATTTCAGCTATTTCCACTTATTATTTCTAAAGTTATGGCCTTTGTTTCACTTTCTTGAACCCTGTGAATGCTCTAACAAAAGTTATCATCCGATCTGTATGATATTTATATAATATATATGCCTTATTTAGATTTGTGACATGAAGAATCCTATTGAATTTCAGCAATTTCCGTTAATTAGGTCTAGGGCTATGGCCTTTGTTTCACTTTGTTGAACCCTGTGAATGACAAAATTTATCATCTGATCTATATGAAATTTATATGAATAATTTAAATTAGTGAAACAAAGAAGTCTATTGAATTTCAGCAATTTCCATTTATTACGTCTAAAGTTATAGCCTTTGTTTCACTTTATTGAACCTTGTGAATGCTAGAATGACGAAAGTGTCATCTAATCTGTATGAAATTGATATCCATCATAGAAATTATTGAAAAGAAGAGGCCTATTGAATTTCATCAATCTCCATTAATTACGTCTAGAGTTATGGCCCTTGTTTCATTTTATTGAACCTTGTGAATGCTCGAATGACATAAGTTATCATCTGATCTGTATGAAAGTTATATACATCATTTAAATTAGTGAAACAAAGAATCCTATTGAATTCCAGCAATTTCCAATAATTACTTCTTGAGTTATGGGCCTTGTTTTACTTTGTTGAACAGTGTGAATGCTCGAACGACAATTCATCGTGTGATCTATATGAAATTAATGTGCATTATTTAAATTAGTAAAACCATGGACGTGGTAAAACGAAAAATACTGTCGAATTTCAACAATTTTTGTATATTACTTCCTTAAAGCCCTTCTTTCAGTTTGTAGCACCTTGTGAACCCTCAAAGGACGAAAATTATAATCTGATCTATATGAAATTGTGTTGCAAATACCCCCATTACCTATAAAAGATTAAATATGCAACAAGCCTTGTTGACAGTTTGGATGATTTAGCTGCTGTGGGCAACCTATCTTATAGTCTTATACTACCATATCCCACAACTATCAAAAAATACATTTGGGACACTGAATTGTATGGAGAAGTAATAAAAGGTCAGAAGTGTCATTTGCTCATACTTCTCCATTGCTCTGAATCTTATTTAGAATAATGTATCTTATTATTTTTCAGGGCCAATAAGTTGTGACAAGGGTAAAAGTGAAAGGATTATTCGGGTAGAGAAAGGAGATTTTGGTGAAATACGATCAGCTTTATACCCATCCAATTATTCTGTAGATTTATACAGTTCTTGGTGTCAGATAGAAATTAAATCATGCAGTACTTGTAAAGTTCAGTTACAGTTTGTAGATATTAAATTCCCAAAATGTGAAGAGAGAGAAGTCGATATACAGAACAAGTCTCGAAAAATATGCATTCCAGGGTAAAGACTATTCCATTTTTCTAATGTTTTTATTTTCAAAACATTTTCATTTTTATACACCCATATTGAAATGTTGTCATATATTACTGTTGCCTACATGCGTTTGCGGTCAATCTGTCCATCCTTTAATTGCCTACAATTTCTTATTAACATTCTACAGACTACATATTTTACCCGATTTTCAAGAGTTTTTGCTTTTAATCACTTTAGATAATTTTGTTATCTTCTGATTTTTTATACGCCCACATTTTCATGTGCGTAAGTCGGATTTCCGAAGTCGGATCTTTGCTCAACTCGGATCAAAATGTTCAGTCCATTTGATCTAATTCTAACTTTTTTTCTTTGTTCAGAATTTTACTAAGTCAGTTTCGTACCAATGGTCTAAAACACGGTTAGCTATTCCATGCACAGAGCCCCAAAATACTTTCCCCTATCATTTTGACTCTAAATCAGCCTATTTGATGGGACGCAATAATAGAATTTTCCCAGAAAAGTCGAAACTCGCTGTCTGCTATAGGAGACACTTTCTGGGAACATTTAGGACATTTTTCAAAGATGGCGGCAAACAGAAGTTATCTACTAGCACATATGAACAAAAGCTTGAAATGTGCATTTGAATCAATTATTATGACCCTTGTTTCAGTTTGTAGAATCTTGTGAATGATAAAATTGATAATCCAATCTTTCTTCCTTCACATTTAGCCCTGCAAATCTATATATTACCAACTTTTCTCTAAAAACATTATATGTTACTTTGATATTAAGAAATAGATCATATTGTCTTGTCAGCAATAAAAAGTAAGTTATGTCTAGGGCTAATCTGACTTTGTGAGATATGCTAGACGAGGCATGTAATGGCTGCCATCTATGGTCAATGTATTGCTATTAATTTGAGTGGCTGTAACAAGTGCTTCAAATTTGAATAAATTCTGATGTGACTAAAAAAAAATAATTAATTTCATTTATTGCTCTCTCTGGGATGTAATTGACCTCAGAATCGAAGGCAGAAAAAAATAACAATATAATAATCATTAGAATTGTTCCACTATGTTTTGAAAGTGGAAAAGACTACTTAGTGTAGAAATGTCATCCAAAAACAAAAGGTCATGCAGAACAAATTCATCAATACCTAAATTAAGTTTTAAGAAAGGTTACCTTCAGACCTTATGCCTTCTCTCAACCCAGTATTGATTTTGGTTGCTTGATAGTTACAGAATGAGACTCACTTGATACACTGTATTCTAATACATTAGTTTAGATTCTTGAACAGTTTTAAAAAGAAATGAATATAAGTTTGTAATAAACAAATACTGGGATATTAAGTTGTGACTGACAGCAGTAATTATACCATGCCATGGTAACCCATCCTGTATGAGTCCACTGTACCCTATCTATCTCAAACTATTTCATTCTCTTGGATGTTGTTACTCCTTTTCAGTCAATTCAAGCCAATTATAGAGGCTGTCATTTGAAGGTTTGGATACTGTAAATTAGTTTTTCTCTATATTAATTGTCTTTTATAAGTACATTTAATGCTTTTGTGATTTTGTTTTTCAGTTGTGATCATTTACATTTACATGAAGTAGATTATCCATATAGTGAAATTAGTCATAATAATTATCATAGAGGCAAATCAAAATATATATCTATATCATCTAACATACGACTTTATCACTGTATGTCCAATACAACAGTTCAAGGAGCAAAAAAATTTAAAATCAAATTTGAAATATTAGGTAAGTAAATTTTGTGGCAACCTACCTTTGAGAAATCAGTTTAAACCAATGATTTGATAAATCCATATTACTATATATGTAGATACATTAATTTACATGGTTTGTTTGGATTTTCCTGTTATCTTTCTAGTCACCTCAGGATCAGCTATATGTTTAGTTGGTTACTTTTTGACCAGATCCATCAAACATTATGTGATCTGGTCGAAATTTATGTGCTTATTTCAGTTTATGAAATTTTTCTTCTTTTCTAGATAAATATGAATTAAAACAAGGCATGGTGGATGCATATCAAGGTCAAAGTTCAGGTTTTGTCATGTCTCCAAATTTTCCAAAAGGTTATGCCATGAATGGAGAGACATTTTCATATCTTATTCAAAATTTAGATCCTTATGGTCATGTACGTCTTCTATTTGATGATTGGGACGTTTCACCTCAAAGTGAGGTTAAGGTAAGAATTATTAATATTTTTAATAGTTGCCAAAAAATCGTTTCTCCAAACAAAAACAAGTCTTTCCCAATTCATGTCAACTATGGATGTTTGTTTAAAGATACTTTCCTGCATATTTGGACTAAAAACATATTCAAACTAATTAATATATCAAAAGTTTGCTTCAAATCCCTCTCAAAACAACCGCTTCCTCAGTCAAGCTAGCACACAATAAGCAGGCAGACAACAGTTGGGTTGCTAGTTAGTGATACCCTGACATGTTTGCCCAATGCTAGCCTCCATGGGTGTTTTTCGGGTAATTCAGTATTGTTCTAGTAAGATTGGGTGTCTATACTTTTCATGCATACCAAATTTGCCATACTTTTATTGGAAATAACCACCCAGTAGATACTTGGGGACAATGTCTCTTCAATCCAGGCATTTTTATACGCCCACATTTTCATGTGGACGTATTATGCCGTCGCCCCTGTCCGTCCGGACGTCCGTCCGTCCACAATTGTTTGTGGACTCTCTACAGGTCACAATTCTTATCCGATTTCGACGAAACTTGAAATATAGGTTTATCCCCAAAAGATCTCGGCTGCTTTTGATATTGGCATGTATCGGATCGAAACTTCATGGATTATGGCCCCTGTTTGTACGAAAAATCACGTTTTTAGCTTGTGGACCCTATAGAGGTCACAATTTTTATCCGATTTTGTTGAAACTTGAAATATAAGTTTATAATCCAAAGATCTCGGTTCCTTTCAATATTTGCCCATATCGGACCGTAACTTCCTGAATTATGGCCCCTGATTGTACGAAAAATCACGTTTTTAGCTTGTGGACCCTATAGAAGTCATAATTTTTATCCGATTTAAAAAAACGTTCTATTATATCACCGTTACACCCTAAGGATGACTGAATTTGAATTTCATGAAAATCACCCTAAAATTGACAGACAAAATGGCCGCCGTTCGTTCTCAAATAGCGTAAAAATATGGTATATCAAGGTTGTGGACCCTACAGAGGTCACAATTTTTATCCAATTTTGTTGAAACTTGAAATGTAAGTTTATAACACAAAGATCTCAGTTCCTTTCGATATATGCGCATATCGATTGTAATTTCCTGAATTATGGCCCTTGATTGTAGGAAAAATCACTTTCTTGTTAGCTTGTTCTCTATCCATCTCTTGAAAATGTGGGCGTATCCTGCCTGGCAGCCGCTGGTGTAATTGTATTATAATTAAATTCTGAGCAGCACTGTATAGACAGTAAAATATTGTTACTTTTAGAATTTGTCTTTGGTAAATGTTGATGTATCAAAAGTTCAATGTCATCTCTCAAGGATGTATTTTGTATTCAGTATAATTCTCTGACTATTTGAGAATAACAGGAAAATACAATATTTTGTTGTCATTCCCCAAGAGATAACTTTTTAACATGAAACATGCATATTTGCAAGAATGGTCATTACCAAATTGCCATGAAAATCAGATTTTTACTTTTTTTGAATTGGTAATGTAATTATAACTAACTGACAAAAACTTATAAGAGATAAGCATCAATAAATGCATCACTATCATAATTTGATTTGTAAAAGAGGAAAAATAGAGAAGTTGTTGATGCAGATTGGCTGCTGTTGCGTTGTAGATGTATCAAGGGGACAGATTGTGTTTATTTCCTATCAAATGATATAACTTTCTAGCCAGGAAAATTCTCATCTAGTTGACTAAGTTAGAAGCAGAGGTGAAACCACTGAAAAAAACAACTGACAGGATTTGATTATGATATTTTGATGTAACAATGATAGTTGAGGCAAGGAGAAGATGTGTAAAATCTTGTCTCAATTATAGAAACACATGTCCAAGTCAGCTTGGAGAATTCTTTACAATCCATGTGTGGTTCTCCTCCTATAGGTCATCACATCTCTAACTGTAATCTGTCTCTATTACTAAATCTATACATATGTTAGCTCATACATGTAGGTAATTCTATAGATACTCATGATATGCCACAAGTACAAAAACTAGGAAGTAAAAGGTCTTTCCTGAGGGCAAACATGTCCCATACCACTCTTTTTTGTTGTGTAAAAAAAATATTAAGCGATATTCTTTTATGGTTCTTGATTTCCATGTATGTGGACAGTTAAAGAAATAATTAAGCAGATTTGGTGCACAACTTTAGTGAACAGATAAAAAAATAAATAAGTTGATGCTCTACCATGTAATAAAAATTTGTCTTATCAAATATACAACAAAATTGGTGTATGTGAACATCTCAAATGTATAAATAGTGTTATAAGGTGTTCTAGAATTAAGGTGTTATACTATAAGTTGTGTCAGATTGAAGGTTTGAGTTTGGTCAGTCTGTATAAATCTGTCAAAGGATCTAATTTGGAATATTTGTTAATTAAATGGAATCAAAATAGAGGAATAAATGCAAGATCTGATGACAGATATATTTTGGTACTTTCTTATTAACACAGTGAAAAATACCCCCAAAAAACCCTGTTTATTTGACACTCTATTACTATCTATAGTAGAAATCTAAGACTTGTAGTGGGATATATGTATAACATGTTAAATGGGGGATTGATTTACTGTGAGAACAAGAATCAAATATTCCACTTGCCTGTGTAAGTGGCTAAGATTATATGACTTATCAGGATTAAAGCACAAATTGCCAAACTAAAACACACTCAAATTGACTGTTTGAAAGAAACGAGTACACTGGAAACATTCTTCATGTAGTTTTTACACAGATTACATGACTCATTGTAAAAATTCCTTTTGGATTCAAGAAGACAACCCATCTTGTATTTTGTTAAGAATAAGATCAAATGTTGATACTTCCACTCTGTACAAAGAGTATTCCTGGAAACACAGAAAATTTTTTAGATCAATTTTCAGTAAGAAAAATCCACTTGTTCTTGAAGTGTGTAAAAAGTTGTAAGACAATGATTACCGTAGCAGCCGCACTTAATCCTAGACTTAGACGATGAATGCTGTAGAGGATTATACTAGATTTAAACAACATATGTTCAAGATTTTAACCTGTGGTTATATTGACGAAATCGTATAAAATTGTATGACCACTGACATCGTCTAAATCAAGGTCACCACCTGATTTTAATTAGAGTTTTTTCTCTAATGGAAATGGAGGGTTATCTATGTGGAAGGAGGACTTGTGAGTTCTAATCTCAAAGGTTTCTACATCATTATGTCTCAACATATTTCTGTTTATTCCACCAAATTAAACAGTAAATCAGCCGGTAGTAGACTGGCAGGATGGAGATGGAAGCAATAAATCCGTCCTTGTTTGTTTTACAACATGGTTTAGTTGAAACAAATCCAGTGATTAAAGTGTTCAATGATAAACATCTTGTTATAGCTGGTAGCTTATTTTACACTGTGGTTAGCAGTGAGTAGTAGCTTGTCTTAATGTTTGACCTGGGGCCCTTGGGGTTTTTGTCATCACTTTTGTCCATCCAGCATAAAGAATTTACATTTTCAGCTTCTTCAGAACTGCCGAAGTGATTTCAGCACAAGTGGTTAGGGGGACTTCGATTTGTTATAGAAAGGATTTCCATACCCCACAGGCAAAACAGAGACATTTGATTTTTTTTATATGCCTACATTGAACAAGATAAAATGAAAACAAATTTTTCACTGTTTTTTTTGTCATCGTTGTAGGCATAGTACATTCAGAGTGAATAATACTTTGATAATAAAAAGTTCTTTTTAATTTCCAACTGTCAGGGGATCTTTAACATACTGCCAATGGTATATACAGGACCTTATATTTTCTTTCCATTCTAATGACTCAATGCTTTTCCTTGATAAGCCCTTAGTCCTTCAACACCGACGAGGGGAAATCTCTTCATTAACAGAGCCATGTAATGTTTCGTATACAATGTATGCATGTATAGCAACAAAATAAGAAACTCTTATGTTCTTATACGGCCACATTGAAATAGGGGTGTATATTGTTCTTACCCCATGTGGTGGACGCTCAAGAGGCTAAATCGGTCATCGAATTGACTTGAAATTTATACATGAGGCGGAGGATCCTATTGATCTTTAATGATTTCTGATAATTCGACCCTTGAGCACTTTGTAAACTTTGGGTACTCCAAAGGCTAAACATTATCATACAGTTGATTTGAAATTGATACATATCAATGAGACTATGTTCATGAGACTATGAAGTCTATTGATTGACAACAATAATTTCTAATAACTGAAACAGTTTAAGTCATCATCTGATTACCGGTACATGTTTCTGTAATAAATGTTGGCCCAAGGAAGAAGTAGAAGCCAATCAAATTTTAATTATTTTTCATAATTACTTTATGGGTTGTTACTCCGGATAAGTGTTTAGATTCAATATGTGACAATCAATGTGAACTGCTTGGATGAATTATTGTCTTTGGCAGTGTGTGCTTTATTGCCTGACAACCTATCTTGTAATAAATATTAGACAATTTTATTTTGTCTGTACTCAAATAATAGTGAAAGGTTGAATCTTCCTGATATTTTAAAAAAAATGATGCTTAAGATTTTTGGCTAGTCAAAGGATTGGTTGTCAAATGCCAGTCACACTGTTATGGACCCAGTTTACTTTTAAAACTTGATTGTATTAAGCCTGTCATCAAGAAGATGAAAAATTATAACAATTTTAGCCCAATGACCCATGTGGTGAGAAAACACAATGACAACACTGAAGACAAAGTGTCTGTTGGACACATTAAAGTGTTAGCAAACATTTGAAATGAAAGACTAAACTTTTTAAAATTCAACATTCCATTAATATCTGACATTGACATAACATTGATGAATGAGTCAATTATTAACTGCCAATGCATGGATGGAAGTGATTTTAATACAAAATTAAGGCAGTAATTTGATGGTATATTTTCAGGTTTATGATGGTCTGACAATCCACTCCCCATCAATGGTATTAAATCTACATCATCGGCCTGTCATGTTATCTGAATCCAATACAATATTTATAGTATTTAGTACAGGACTACATACTAATGGCTGCTGTCATTATTCAGGGTTTAAAGCAGCCTACCAGTTTGTATCAGGTAAATAAGATCAGCTATTTTTACATGTTCAGTGTTCAACACCTCAAATGTTTTCATTACCTGTTTACAGACGTTCATCTGGTTTTGCATCTGCTTAGTACGGTAGTTATATTTCTGCCACTGAATAAAAACATATTTGCATCAGAAAACTGAACATTTTCCATTCTTAGTGACAGTGTTGTTGATATTTTTGTTGAATTTAAAATGCAAAATAATAACAAACAAGTAATTTATGCATGGTCCTAAACAATTTGGGTTTCAAAATGATATAATGACATATTTTGGATGACAATACTTTACTATTGCTTGTTATTTTACGATTACTTATTACTTCACTGCTACTTATTACTTTCATTGTCACGCAACAAGAGATATCTGGTCATTTACAAGGAAATTGTTTAATTCGATATGATTATTTTTTATAGAAAAAGTATGGACAGACCAACCAGTTACTGGTAAGTATTGTTTATTTTCTTAAAATGAGGTGAACATTTTAAAAAATGAAATAACTCTTTTATTTGGAAAAAAAAACCCTGCTTTTAAATTGACCCATGGAATACTGGCTAATTATTAATTTCTAAATGAGTGTATACTTTGATACTATTGAAACTAAAAGTTGATATTTTATAAACTTAACAAATAATGCTCATTTAAAAAAAAATATTTGTTTGAAAGGTTGAAAATATTGTTTTTGTGAAAATGATGTCACTACCATTACGTATTGAATGGTATTTATTTTATTCATGGCAGAAAACTTGAAAAATAATGCATGAAAAATCTGATCTTTTTAAAATTTATGTGTGTTGTTTACATTACATTCACAATTCCAGAGGCATTGCCATTGACCACTTTGTATAATCTTGCAAATGCTCTCTAACAATAAAAGTTAAAAGTTATCATCCAATTTGTTTGAAATTACTTATTAGTTACATTTAGAGTTATGGCTCTTATGATGAAAGTGATTGTCCGATCTGCTTTAAATTTATATGCGTTATTCAAATTATATTCAAAGGAGACAAAAAAAGTATAATAATAATAATAATAATGTGACCAAGAACAATGGTGTTTCACACTGACAAAGTTAGAAACGCCAATAAGATTGATGATCAGATAGAATGACTGTTAAAAACTTGAGTTACAGTGACACTGATATCTGTATGAGGTAAAAACTTCAAATCAATATTCCTAACAGGCTTAAAACATGCGAAATAATGCTCAACAGAACAATAACACTTTATAGAAATACCAAAAACTGATTTTAATAATCATATAATGTAGCCTAATCATTATATTTGCTATAATAATAGGAATATCATTTGAGTTGTTTTTGTTGCGCTCTTTGAGGGTTATAGAGTAAATTATAATATGGAATGACTTGTACGAAATAGTGTTGTTAATTATGGGATGCAATAAAAAAAAAAAAATGCATTATTTATAAAAACTACATGCACATTTGGTAACAATTAATATATTTATAAGTTTATACAGTTAATATTAGGACTCCTATGGCTGTGCATCTGTTAGAGTTTATTTATAATCTGAGAAGAGATGGTTAATTAATTTATCTGAATAAATATTCCCAATAAATATTTTAGATCCAGCAATATTTACAATTTGTGGGGTTTAAAATAATGAAGGTTATCATAATTTACATAAAATTCAAAAATACCAATTAGTAATTTAATATTACTTAACGAAATGGATGTAAAAATGTAATCAATCTCAATAATATGTTTTTATTATTACACATATATCTCTGTTCAGGACAGAATATGTCTATAAAATTGCCAGTAGATTTCCATTATCACTTCAGAAATGACAAAACATAGCTATGCACCAATGACAGATATGTTATTCCTTGGAGATTACAGAAATTGAGGCAATAATTTGTATGGAAAATGTGTATGATTAATCACTTTGACATATCTCTATATGACATTTCATAAATAATACAGGAAGCAAAGTGTTAATATGTTTTTATCTCTTTTAGATTGTAGTGGTATATATCCAATGAAATCTGGCAGAACCATTGATTTTACTGGACTCGCATCAGCTTTTAACACATATTTTGACTGTGTATGGATAATAAAACGTCAAACCGGCGAGAATCAACCTGATGGTGTTGTCTTAAGAATGGGAGAAGTTCTTCTAGGGGATGGTAAATAATTAACTAATATTATTTCTCACATACACATCATATTCCTGTTACAAATGGACTATATTAATTACACTATAGAAAAATATGAAACATTTAGTGACATAGTATCCTCTGTTAACAAGACTGGTCGTCAATATACATCTAGTGCTTAATATTAGTCTCCCAATTATGAGGATGTGACACAGGAGATGGTTCTTTTATGGAAATTGTTTCATAATGATAGATTTTGTTTTCAGGATTTTGAAAGACCTGTCACTTTTGGTTTAAGTTTTATAGTTAACAATTGTTTTCTGAATCATATATTTATCAGTTACTATAATACACTATACAAATATTTTAGGTTGGATACAATACAGTAAAGGTAATTATTTAGAAATAAGAGAAGGTGTAACATCTGATGCACCAGTACGATATAGATATACGGCTAAAAATCTAACTAAAGCTTCACCAATATTTACTACTGGTAATGGTTTCTATATACGACTACGTGGTGGTTATTACAGTACAGATAAACTACAATATATATATACAAGCTATAAAAACGTAACACCAGGTAAACTTTAATCATTTCTACATGAATTTTAAGAAAAACATTTTGTAACTTACCAATAAATAAGATCTTAATAGTATTCATTTGCTTATCCTCGGATATATAAATGCACCAAAAATTTGGTGGGGGGCTTGTTTTTATATGCCCACATGGAAATGTGAACGTATATTGCCGTCGCCCCCGTCTGACGCGGCATCTGTCCATTTGTCGATCGGTCTGTCGGTAGGTCCATCGTCCCACAATTCCTTGTGACCACTCTAATGCCAAAAGTTATCATCCGATATATGTTGTTTACATAAGTGAGATGAAGAAGCCGATTTAATTTCAATAATTTCTGTTAATAACTTCTAGAGTTATGGCCTTGTTTCCCTTTGTGAATGCTCTAACATCAAAAGTTATCTGCCGATCTGTATGAAATTGATCTGTATGAAATTTACATGCGTCATTTAGATTAATAAAAAGAAGAATCCTTTTGGATTTCAGCAATTTCCATCAATTACATAAGGAGTTATAACCCTTGTTTCACTTTGTTGAACCTTGTGAACGCTCTAACGCCAAAGGTTATCATCCAACCTGTATGAAATTTATATGCATCATTTAGATTAGTGAAACCACAAAGCTTACTGAATTTCAGCAATTTACATTAATTGCTTCTAGAGTTATGGCCCTTGTTTCACTTTGTTAATGCACGATTGATGAAATTTATATGCATCATTTAAATTTGTAAAACAGAGGTCTATTGATTTCAGCAATTTTCGTCAATTACTTCTAGAGTTATGGCCCTTGTTTTACTTTGTGAACCATGTAAACGTTCGAATGACAAAAGTTATAATCCGATCTGTATGAAATTTATAGGCATTATTTGAATTAGTAAAACAAAAAGCCTGTCAAAGCCTGTCCGCTCAGATGATTTAGCTGCTGTGGGTGTATGTTTCGTTGCCTGGTAACCTATCTTTCCACTTGCAAGAGAAATCTGCAATATTGTGTGACCAATTTTAAAAATACTCTTCTTGAAATTATCTTTTTTTCTTCAAAAGATGAAATCCAAAGTGTCAGGATATAAAAACACACTCAGTTATAAAAGCTTCTGTTACACTACCTCATATTTTCTGGGATACAGTTGATAGACAGACATTGTAATTACTAGCTCAACGCATTTGATCAAAGGGAGGTAACAGTGTACAAGTCGGTTTAATTTTGCCATGTATCTGTTTATTTCAGAGGGTTGTCCAAGTCATTATGATTTTCTGTGCACTAATTTATTATGTATTGATCAAGAATTAATGTGTGATGGAATAGATCATTGTGGTGATGGCTCAGATGAAAGTCCTATTTTAGATTGCTCAGTTTCAGGTATGTAACACTAAGATATATTTAATTACCAAAGACAAGAAGATCAGACAGAATTTGTTAATTTCTCAACTGAACTGTTAATAAATGAATATCATAAAAGATTGGTTCAAACTTCAAAATATGTATTAATGTTTGAGATATATTTCAGCTCTATGGAGATTAAGCTTTAGATGGTCAATGCCATATGTTGGTAAGTTTTAAGTTTATATGTGACTATTTTTGCCTTAAATGGGCAACAAAATAGAAGTACAATTGTGTAGTTAATGAGATTATTACAAAAAGGTAAAGGATATAATATGTTGATGTAAGAGATCACAAACTCAAACTATTTTGATTCTGCATAATTTAATATTTAGACCAACATCACAAATGAAATGAAAACAGTACTTAATAATTATAACCCAAACTTTTCAAACCACGATACATAGCCCAGAGCATTTCTAAAAAAGCTGAAGTAATAATATGTCTTTAACTAAACTTTTATCTTAAATTTAATAAATAACTTTTAATATTAGACTGGGTTTAATGTTTTAGCAGAGACCACAACAGAAGTGGCTTTAAAGAGAGATAAACCATGTTATAATGGTTTTATGTGTGTAAGTGGTAGAGAATGTATAACTAAATCTAAAAGATGTGATGGATTAAGAGATTGTATTGATGGTTCAGATGAACATAGATGTTGTAAGTAAATGCAGTATCTAAATTTTTTCACATAATTGTATGTGTAGTTCATATGGTCATATTGCTGATAAATTTAAATGACAACATTTTGGACACTAATGGGGGATATGTATTTCTCTAGAGTGTAACAGTGGATATCTGTTTTCATGGAAATAAAGAAGATATCTCTGGGGACTGAATGAAGGGGATTGTTAACTGGAGACTAAAGGGGGATAACTTGTTTTTTCGCGATTTAACGAATGAAAACTCTATCTTATATTGTGGGATTATTTAACAAAAACATTAGATTTAAATAACTTACATCATATTTATTTTCTTTTTCAGATACAAAGTCAACAAATGATAGTCAGCGTCTCCAAAGAAATGTGCTCAATATTTTATCAATAGTATTATTAGTTATTATTTTATAGCAAAACATCTAGCCAGTGTGACCAGATAGCAATTATTTGTGATATTTGAATTCTTTCAGAGTTTCGCTCATCTGTATGTGGCTTCTCATACTGTGCACATCTTAATATCAAACACGGCATGATACGTATTTTCAATAATAGATTCACCCATTTTACTTAGTCTTATTGAAAATTATTTTTGTTTGATGTGATTTGGAGTAGAATAGTTCCTGTAGACATACTATTCCGTCCAAATAATATCTATCATGGCAAATTATTTCATTAATCTTAATTAACATATTTAAATGTTCATGCATAGACATGATCTTATTTATTTTTCATATGTGCTTATGTTGTAAATATACATATTATATATATATTCATCATTATATTAAGGATATGTTTGTAAATTGTGCTAATATGTAAAAATGTATATTTTAAATTATGTGATATAAATATGAGTTCTGCAAATATGTAACAGCATTTAAATATATTAAGAATAGCCAGTTGTGTCTCAGTAGTTATAATCTATGAACAAAGGTAAATATTAATGCATGTCTTCAATGAATTTTGTTTTCTACCTTTTTTAAGAAGCTAAAAGCACTGGCTAAAATCATATTCCTGAAGCAATGGAGACTAGCATTATTAGTTCATTAAACATCGCTACACTTCTTTCAGAAAAGTGTTTCATTTCCCTGATTAAATTTTTAATACACTTAATACACTAGCCTCAAGAATTCAGATGAACCATATATTTCTGAAATGAAATGAAATGAAATGAAATGAAATGGGGTTTAACGTCCTACTGTTCTGCTCCTATACTGGGCTAATGAAGATGGGCATAGCCATACAGTGTGCTATGAGGGAAATTTTGCACGGGCAGCGGCACTATCGCCTACTTTTATATCAAATTCCAACTGCCAAGGGATCTTTTACGTGCATTCTAATGTATACACGAGACCTCGGTTTTTCGTCTCATCTGAAGGACTAGACAGCTGTCCTTGTCAGGCCCTCCGTCCTGCATCACTGACAAGGGGGAACCACGCCGGAAAATCTGGATGAACTTTCTCGGCCAATGCAGGGATCGAATTTATTTCTGAAAAGCTTAAAGATACATTATGGAAGATTAGATAAAGAGATGGGAGTTCTCACTATAAAATTTAAAATCTAGATAATGTAAAGGGAATATGCTGAAAATTTCAGTCAAATTACTTCACTAAAAGTTGAGAAAACATTATTTTAAAATCACTGAAGCATCAGTTGCCATTGTTACCACTGTCATGATAATTAACAAAGTCTTGATTATCCACTTTTGCGGTTAATCATCAACAGGCGTTGAAAATCGGACACAGAATTTGATTATGATCTTTTTATATTAATAAATGTCTAATTAATAGTTTATATAACATTTCAGGCCTAAAGAAAAACCTGCAATAGACAGAGTTAGCTCTTGCATAATGTATGTTTAATCAATGGGGTTAATAGAAATACATATTAAAAACAATGTATGGCGTATGCCCAGGGGTTGGGGGGATTGGGAATAAGTAGGGCGTTTAACCAAATTTCATTCACATTTTTATTATATAGGATTGTCATGCTTACATTTTGGAACATGATAACTTCCTGAGAATGTTCATTAAGTGAATATCTTGACTGAGTTCAGTGATTAACATTTTCCACTATAGCTAAGCAATTTCATTGGTCGATGCTTTGGGGCAAGATAACTTTGATTCTAACCGAAGGAGAGTGATGACTGAGTTGAATCATGAACATTTTCTGCTTAGTCTTAATCTAAGATTAGATAATCAGTTTGATCGCTCGATACAATTCGTAAAGATCAATGCGCAATTAATTGGTATGTGTCATCTATTTTTTTTTGAATATCTGCGGGGGACATACACCTCACTGTTGGCTTGTTTTTCTACATAATGGTGTCTTGATAATCATTTGTGCACATGATAATAAACTTTTTTTTAAAGTGATGTAGTAATTGTTAATGAGTTGATAATGCTTATTAAGGAATGTGGCTAAATGGAAAATTATCCAGTCGTCTAATGTGCCAAAGTTGTGTTTAATTGTATTTTTTATTATCATCTGTATAAATACATTTATCATAATATATATGTTTAATTTTATCCTAAATTCTTATTAGCAAAATATTAAATTAACCAGCTGTTGCCAGGCAAGAGATGGATAGACAACAAGCTAAAAAAAACCCCAAAAACTCAATTTTTCGTACAATCAGGTGCCATAATCCAGAAAGTCATGGTCTGTAATGCATGAATATCAATAGGGGCAGAGATCTTTGGGATATAAACATATATCTTAAGTTTCATCATAATCAGACAAAAATTGTGACCTCTAGAGGATCCACAACATTTGTATTACATACTTTTACACAATTTGCGTACAAGGAGAGGCCATTTTGTCGGGCAGTTGCAACCATTCCACCATAATGAATGTTGAATTCGAATTTTCTGGAAAATCGAAATGAAACTGCCCGACCAAATGGCCGCTCTCTGTACGCAAATTGTGTAAAAGTATGTAATACGATGGTTGTCCATCTAGAGGTCACAGTTTTTATCAGATTTTGATGAAACTTAAAATATATCTTTATATCCGATTTTAAAAAACGATTAAATATATCATCCTTCCACCATAATGAAGCTTGAACTCGAATTTCGGGAAAGTTGAAATGAAACTGCCTGTCGAAATGGCCGCTCTTTGTACGTAAATTGTGTAAAAGTATGTAATATGATGGTTGTGGACCGTCTAGAGGTCACAATTTTTATCAGATTTTGATGAAACTTGAAATATATTTTGATATCCCAAAGATTTCAGTCCCTTTTGATATTTGCGCATTTCAGACCATAACTTTCTGGATTATGGCCCCCGATTGTTCAAAAAATAGCTTGTTCTCTATCCATCTTTTGCAAAATGTGGGCGTATCTTGCCCACATATGATAGTGTATTAACTTTATGGGGTATCACTATGTCATGTAATCCTTTCTGTGGGGTTACTTTTCTGAATGCAGGTTACATGAAGAGAGAAATGGTGATTAATGTACACTGAATGCTAACTAGGTCATTTTGGGAAGTACCCAGAGACCAGAGAAAACCTACAAGGTTTGGCTAGCAACCCTACTTTTTGTCACACATAAGACTGTGATTGAACCCATGACTCACATAAATAACAAGCCTTAAAATCACCTGACCACCACAACCCCATTGTCTACTACAAAACCCACAGCAAATTGCCTGTTGAAGTGTGTGTTACATGATTTATTTCAATGTCCAATAACAAGCAATATGTAACATATATTTGATAAAACCATTTAGTTTCTTGGTAATTCATACAAAATATATTTAAAAGGTTAGTGAATGTTGGTACAGTTGTGTATCATGTAATAGTCTAACATAGAATACAAAGTATATTATTAACACTTGGCTGCATCATGACTAATTGATACATTGCATTGGACACATTTTTATTTGAAATTTTACTATCTTACTTAGTGAAATCTGCCATAGTTTAAAAAGGAAATATACCTGTGTGACTTGACTTGCCAAAAGAGGCACCAGTATTTGTTCTGCCCTAAAAGATTTGGATATACTTTATGCATATATTCAGAGATACAATTAAAAAGCACTACTTATTTGACTGGAAGTGCTGGTGAGATATATGACTGTAGACTAGACATTTACCAATTAAGAAACCCAGGTAGGCAGTAACAACATTGCGTCACAGTAATATATATGCCTTATAAGAGAGAGAGAGAAATGGGGTTTAACGTCCACTCGACACAAACTAGGTCTTTTCGAGACTAACATATGGTTTAGTTTTATTTCAATAATTCGCTTTCGCATAAGGGTCTTTAGCAATTGGAGGTAACCGGAGGACCCGGAGAAAACCCACGAGGTTGGACAGGCGACCCTACTTCTTGTCACGTACAACCGGGGATTCGAAACCACGCCAGTCGACTCAATGACAGACTTTATGATATAGCCTGCGCACGCTAACCATTCAGCCATCCAACCCCCCCCTATATGCCTTATACTCATTATTTCATGCTTGATTAATTAAACTATCACATACATTAAAAATATCTGTTACTTTACCATAATAAAATTAATTTATATAGATACAAGATGATTGAGGTATCACTAGATGTTAAAACACAATTTTTTAATACCTTTCACAAATCGAAATAAAATTTACACACTAAGATAAATGACTTTTTGCCACAGCAGATTTACTCCATTGAAGGTGTTAGAAATGGCAGCAGTCACACAAGAATAAGTTTGGGGTGCTAGCTTTTCACATTGGAATTTTTCAAGAGATTTCATGGATGTAAAGTTACATACACTGTACCCCGGGTATCATTTGATCTTGTGTATCTAGCACTAGTTTCTTTCACATTTGTTTAATATCAAATCTTTGTTTAAAAATTCGTAAAAATTATTTAAAATCACCCCAAATCATCTAATTTGTACATGGTGTCCAGTTTAAAGCTGACTGATTAATTTTGATAATGAGTGTCCAAATTGCAAGTATTTAATTTCCTGACCACTTTCAAAAATTAATCAAAGCAAAAAGTTATGATTCGATTATTTTAAAATTGATATATATGTTGCTTTCATTAGATAGATGAAGAATCCTATTTAATGTCAATAATTTCCGTTAATAACTCCTACAGTTATGTCCCTTGTTTCATTTCGTTGCACCTTGTGAACGCTCTTATGCCAAAAGTTATCATCCAATCTTTGTGAAATTTACATGCATTATTTAAATTAGTGAAACAAAGAATCCTATTGAATTTCAGCAATTTCACTTTGTTGAACCTTGTGATCACTAACGCCAAAATTTATCATCAGATCTGTATGAAATTTATATGCATCATTAAGATTAGTGAAACCACGAAGCCTTTTGAATTTCAGCAATTTACAATAATTACTTCTAGAGTTATCGCCCTTGTTTCACTTTGTTCAACCTTGTTAATGCTCGATCGATGAAATTTATATGCATCATTTAAATTTATGAAACAGATGTCTATTGAAATTCAGCAACTTTGTCAATTACTTCTAAAGTTAAACCCTATTTCATTTCATTTCATTTACTTTGTGAACCTTGTGAATGTTCGAAAGACAAAAGTTATCATCCGATCTGTATGAAATTTATATGCATTATTTAAATTAGTAAAACGAACAGTACTGTCAAATTTCAACAATTTCTGTAAATTACTTCCACAATTAAAGCCCTTGTTTCAGTTTGTAGAACCTTGTGAACAAACGACGAAAATTATAATGTGATCTGTATGAAATTGTCTTGTAAATGCCCCCAAGTACCTACAAAAGAATAAATATGCGACCACTCAGACGATTTAGCTGATGTGGGCGATTTTTATGATTTTTTAAACAAAGGTATCATATTGAATGAATGTGAAAGAAATTAGTGCTAAATACACAAGATTAATGATACCCGGGTTACAGTGATAATTTGTTTGGTTAAAATCGAATAAAATATATTTTCATTATGTCTAAGGTAGTAAGTCTGTGAATAATAGACGAATCCCATTTAACTTAGAATTCATACTATGTTTCAATCTATCCTGGACAGAGCAACCAGGTTGACTACAATATATGTTCACATTAAATGTAGGTAGGCCTATATGGGATTATGAAGTAGGTTCTTCCAGGTAAAGTTGATATTCAAATGTAATGAAATAAACAGTATGCTAAAAACTAAAGAAATAATATTATTAGAGAAATGTGTATTATTAGCTAATAAAGAAAAAAGGAATTAATTACATTTAACATACACCTTTTTTTAAAAAGTATGATTTTCAGCACAAACATTCTAAAAATTTACTCATTATGAATAAAATGTGTAAAACTTGTAAACAGTTCACTTTACATATCAAAGAGTTGAATAAAATATCTCCAATTCTACATCCATATAAAATTATAATGATTGGCATTGATTTATAAATCATCTATACTATTCAAAAAAAGTAGGGGATATTTGATTTTTAAGTGTTATTAAAGTCACCTAATGAAACTGACGAAGAAACAAATGACAAAATGAAATGAAGTTCACATTCATCGATTTATTCCAAATGATCGTTAGACTAAGTAAGGCACAGACTGACCATTATAAGGGTAAAATGATACCCGGGGTCAAACAGCAAAGTTACCACAGCATCACAACCAAGTCAGTAACGGGTAAATCCTCCTCTGTTTGCCAAACAAGCATTGATCCGACGTGGCATACTCCTAATGAGACGTCTAAGGTCATTTTGGTCCAGATTGTCCCATTCCTGTTGCAACGCAGCAGCAAGTTCTTGGACATTGGCAGGACGTTGTTGACATTGACGTAACCTCTGTCCAAGCATGTCCCAGACATGCTCGATGGGGGAGAGGTCGGGACTCAGTGCTGGCCAAGGTAATGTGGTGATGTTCTGTTGTTGGAGGTAACCTGTAACGATCCTGGCCCTGTGACATCTTGCGTTGTCATCCTGGAAGATGAAACGGCGGCCATGACGTCGTGCGAACGACACAACATGGACTGCCAAGATGTTGTCCCGGTAGTACTGGCCTGTAACACGCCCTGCAACAACATGTAAAGCCGTTCTTCCAGCAACAGTGATGCCTCCCCACACCATAACAGAACCACCCCCAAATCGATCATGTCTGATGACGTTAACGTCTTGGAAGCGCTCGTTTCGACGACGCCACACCCTCCTACGTCTGTCCAAAAAATCAACAGTGAACCTTGACTCATCTGAAAACATCACATTGCTCCAGCGTCGATTATCCCAGTGTTGACGATCCCTACACCAACGACGTCTTGCCTGAATGTGATGATCTCTCAAACAAGGGATCACGCAAGGACGTCGGGCGCGAAGGTGACCCCTATGCAGTCGATTCCGAATCGTCTGGCCACTCACTCTCACACCAGTGTCTGTTTGAAGACGAGCGCTGATCTGATTTGCTGTGATGACACGATTTCTCAAGGCCAAGGTAGGGATAAATCGATCCTGGGCTTGAGTTGTCGCCCTTGGTCGACCTGAGCGTGGTCTGTCCTGTACAGATTGTGTATCACGGTATCTGGACCATAGCCTGCTTATGACAGACTGAGAAACATTCATCGTCCGCGCCACAACCGCCTGTGTTGTGCCGATCTGTAGCATGCCAAGGGCACGTAACCTTTCATTTTGGGTAAGCCGACGCATATCAAAATTTGTTTTCTGGTCACTAAAACAATTAAACTGATGTTTCCACCCTGGAATTCAATGCCACAATGACTGTAACATTCAAAGTCAGAGTCGTGCAAATCTTGGGTTGGACCGCCATGATGATCCCAAGCATCACCTGCATTCCATGCGGTAGCTATTGGTGCGTTTGGGCGTCACATGTAACTGGAAATGTTTCTTCTGTTAGGTTCTATAGTGACTTTTTTCGTAGTCATTTGCATATTTTAGTATTATGCCCCCAAAATCAAATATCCCCTACTTTTTTTGAATAGTATATTTAAAAAAGTATCAAATAGAAAATGCTCACAATATTTATGTACAGATATGTTAAATTTATAAGAACAAATTTGTATTAAACAAGAAAACACAAAATACACAACTCTATAAAAAATGGTTGCCTACATTTAGATCATATATGCATGGACAATAAACAACTCAAGGTATGATCTTAATTTTTTTAGTCAAATATTATGATTGACACACAAAATGTAGAACTTTTAAAAAAATTAGTTTTGATCACAAAATTCATCAAAAGAGAAAAGAATTCTGATTTTTCAGTCTTAACTGCCTATAGTTAGTATTAGATTTACTATTACAAGACGCTTCAGAACATTACTGAAAAGTTCAGGACAGTATTTTTTTGTTCGTTGTCTGCAAATAACAACAGAAACCATTGTTTGTACATATGGGTAAAAAGTATATATATAAAGTATAAAGCTACCTGTTAAAAAAAAAATAAAATCACACAGTTTTAGGTGGTATCTATTAAATTCAATTTTATATCACAACTACATTAAAAATAATAAATTAATTCAGCACTTTTTTGTATGTCACTACCTTGTACAAATAACAATTAGGCAAAAACAGTTCAGTTACTCAAAAAGAAAACAATCAAGATTACTATTAACACCCCTTCGCACACACACACACACACAAAAAATGACCAATATGTCTTGATGATAGTAAAGTTAAAGTCATAAACAGTTTAAACATACACATCCCCATCTTCATCTGGATCGGTACTCACTTTTAACGAAAGAAAAAATTGTCCTGGTTCATTGACCATCTCTTGTACAGATTGACAGTCTGAAGCAGATGGTAAATTTTGAGCGGGAGCAGAACCAGCTGCTTGTGTTGTAGATCTATCAGTATCATATTTACTGTCATAAACATCACTTGTTTCATTATTTTTTAAATGCTGACCACTTGTTGACGCACCACCTGTGGAGGCACTTTCTCTATTGTCACTGTTATTATTATGTGCGGGCGAATTATTAGCAGAATGTATTGATTCAGCTTTCCGTCTGTGTCTTCTGTGTTCTGGGGGACCAGCAGACGCAGAACGCTCAGCTTGATGATGCGGATTAGATTTCCGATGTCTCTGTTTCCGTGCCACAAAATCTTGTAGAGCTTGTTTAGGATCAACATCACGAGAATTTTGATACTGTGGTCTGGTAACAGTGCTTGTACTTGCTGTAGCAGACATTTCTGGATTATATGGCATGCCACATTCCCTTGTTCTATGTGGTGATTCTAATGATCTAGGATCAGACACAGTATTATTGTTTGTTCCAGTTTCAGCACTGGTTGAACATAGTTCATCTGCAGATGGCACAGATTGTTGATCAGATTTCCCAGTGAGACCAGTAGAACAAACCAGGCTTTCAATAAATTCATCTTTAGGTTCATCTCGAGTGTTCTCCCGAACATTAGATAGATTAGAAATCACACCAGACTGGGTGTGATCATAACCTTGTCTCTCACCAGAAACAGTTGAATTACTAGAAGATACTTGTTGACAACGTTGCTGATATGATTCATCACCTGAAGAATTAATATTTGGAAAAGGACCAATTGTTGCACCAGTCACCTCTGAAGAACTGGAGGATGGATTATTTGGAATAGGACGATTAAGTAACGGTAATTGAGAACCTTGTGGACTAGTAGCTTCTTCATATGTTGGGGGCTGAATCATTGAAATTTCAGGCTGTGACCACATGAATGCCTGAAAACAAAAAATTATTATTTTATATATAATTCCAGTACAATTATATGCCTTTATTTAGGATTTGTATACAACCGTCTTTTATCACTATCTAAAATAATAGTTCATCTGCAACTTTGCTATATACAGTAATGTACTAAATTTGAATCAAATATGACAGTTTAATTATAAAAAAAAATCCAGACACCAGAATTATCACTGATTTTAAGTCAACAAAGGGCCACACAATTAAGTGAAAAATTAACAGAATCCAATGAAAAGCAAACTTGAGATCTGTAGCTCTGCTTTATACAGCAGTGTATATGTAGGGGAATAAAAATATCAGTGTCTGTAAAACCAGATTTTTTAATTTTTGCCTTAGATGCTCACCATATTTAAGTGTCCAATTGGAGTAGATCGAATTACTTCTTCATATGTAGGAGGTGAGTCCTGTGAAATTGTTAAATTCATGCTAATTCTTTGTCTATTTCTTCTTCCTACAAAATTAAATGAATAAAACGGTAAAATATTGTAATTAAAAATCAAAATGCAATTACCATCTTAATGTTGTAATTAACAAGCCAACAGTGAGGCTGATGTCTCCCGCCGAAATCCCAAAATAAATAGATGACACATATTAATTAATAGCACATTTATTTTTTTAAAAAATATCAAGCAATCAAACTATTCACTAAGTTTCATCACTCTCTATCAAATAGAATCAAGATTATGAAACTGATAAGCTCTGCTTAGCTTCAGCTCGAAATGTTAATCATTGAACTCAGTCAAGACATTCACCTAATGAACATCTACATCAAGTTTAAACATTTTACCTTAATTAAAAGCAGAGTTGTTATGTTCCAAAGTCTTGACCTATCAAATTGCTTATCGCTCCTTAACCTAAGCAGAAAATTCTCACCATCAAACTTAGTCAAGGTAATGATATAATGAATCTATATTCAGAGTTTCATTATAACCAAAGCATCAACCAATCAAATTGCTTATCTCTGCTTACCCAAGGCAGAAAATGCTCATGTTCGAACTCCTTCAAGGCATTGACCTAATAAACACCTACACCAAGTTTGAACATTCTAGCTCATTATCAAACTTAGTCAAGGTATTGATGTAATGAAACTATACACCAAGTTTCATCACTCTCACTTAATTAGAACTAAAGTTATCGTGTCCCAAAACATCAACCAATCAAATTGCTTATCTCTGCTTACCCTAAGCAAAAATTGCTCATCTTCGAACTCCATCAAGGCATTGACCTAATAAACACCTACACCAAGTTTGAACATTCTAGCTCAATTAGAAAGAGAGTTATTGTGTCCCAAAAAGTGAGACGGACAGACGGACGGACGAACAGACACAGACGGACAAACGAACCCATTTTAATAGTACCCATTCTCTATATGATGATAATAATTCATGCAATTGGCATCTTAATGTTGTAATTAAAAATTAAAAAAAAAGATTCTCTATATAAGAATAATAATTCATGCTTTCATAAAAATTGAACACTTACTTCTTCCACGAGGTACTTGTCCACTAACTGTATTTATTCTCTGTGTATCATCAAGAGGTTGAGCTGATAATTTTCTACATCTTCGTATAAATATAATAAGTAAACAGATGACAACTATAAGGAATATAGATATAACTATAGGTATTATAACACCAACACTCAGTGTATAGGAATAAGGCGATGAATCATACCGACTACCTCTACCTGCAAATAAACAATGAATATGTATTCTAACATTTGGGGAGATAAAATCAATGATGAATATACCAGTACACAAAGTGAAACAGTTATTGTTAACAACTAATATTTATCTGTTGATAACTTTTGATTTCCCAAATGACAATAGTCACAAATGTGATATTTTTTTTAATGTAACATTTGAATGAAGACGTCTTCTCAAGAAAGCTTTTATAAGTTAATTGTCCGAATATAGAAATAGTTGGACCATCTCCTTTAAAAATAAGGCTCTTTTATTAGTATTAGACTGTAATAAATTTGCTGTAGGTAGTAAATTTAACTTACCACATGCCATAGTTTGTTCATCTGAACCATCATCACAATGATTATAACCATCACATAATAACCGGGAAGAAATACATTTTCCATTACCACAATCAAAAAATCCTTGTTCTTTATCACACTGCCCTACAATATATATATATATCCCCATTTCAACAAAATTATCGGATTACTTCTAACAATCAATATAGCTTTTCTATAAACATCTCTGACTAGTAAATTCATTTTGTCTTAATTTACACAAGTTATTATTTAGATCATCCTTTTGCTATCAATGATCAAAAAACAATTTAGTAAAACTGTGAATGGGTTCCTGACAAAGAATAAAATAAGGACAACCATTGTCTTAGTTTTAACACCTGATAAAATGCAGTAAGTTAGGCATTACGATTGAATTATTAAGAGAATATTAAGCTGAACAGTTATGCTGATGTCCCCCGCTGAAAGCCCACCCCCACGCCAAAATATCGATCATATTAAACATACATTATGCAAGAGCTAAATTTGAATATTGCAAGTCTTTATTTAGGCTTCAGATGACATAGAAATTATAAATTAGATCTTTATTTACACAACAAGCACAAAATCAACTCTGTAGACCCACGGATGGCTTGGATTTAAACAGGATTTCATTGACTGATGAAATTTTCAAATGGCGTCGTAAGCGGAGATTAACCGTTACGTTAACGTCATACTCCCGGAAATTTTAGAACGAGGCTAAATGATAGAGTGTACGAAGCGAGGCCGCTGTTTAGCGAGGCCGCATGTCAGTCAATTTGATTGAAAGTTCGATATATAAGGCCTTGATATTATGTTTAGTTGTGGTTAAAATGAGAGTTTGGATGTTGGTATTATACGCTCTTTTGTCACTTGCGTTTACAGAAAAATTACGGAAATTGATAAACATCTCATCGCCCCAGTTGAATTGCAGCCCTATTGGACCACTGTTGCCTATTAGTATTTGTCTGCTACGGGAGTTACGTAGGCCTACATGTTAGTACAAGAGTACACGCAGGCTAACAAGAAGTCGGCTATAATTATGCCTCATTGATTTGGTCCATTCCTTCAAACTTTCGCTTCTTATCATTAAAAGTCTTATTTTTAATTTGTAGTAAAAATAAATGTGATACGAATTGAATTGCAATCCCGTCTCAAACCACAGCCATTGAAAACGTTACTTGATAATCAAGATTATGTAGGTGGATTTAACGCCTGTCAATCAAACAATCACCCATTCTCGGAGACGGTGAAGAGAGAGTTGACTCCTATTTTTAGTCAAAAATTACAATGGTGATAACTTTGTTCACAATAAAGTAATTTGACCGAAATTTTCAATATATTCTTCTTTCATCATCTATTTTTGAACTGTTATAGCAAGAATGGCCAACTCTGTATTAAAATCTCCCATAATGTATCTTTAATTAATTACTTGCACATTTATCATGTTATAAAGCATCTAGCAATCAAATGGTTTATCAGTCTGTATTTCCACCATGTGACACAGATGGCTAAATAGCAACATTACTTTTATTATTCTTTATTAATTGCATGTCAAATAAATACCTTAGATCTATTATTTTAAAGTTGGGTGAACCGAATGGTTGACCTAACGAACATTCTAGAAATGTATATTTGAAACAGGTGTCATCATATAAACTTATGTTAATTTACTAATATTGGACAAACAATACTCACCATATTTGTATGAAGCATAAGAAAGAATAAAATCTTTAGTATCTATATATCTTCCTTTAAGTCTTATATAGAAACCTGTACTGGACTGGTATCCATACAGTTTTGATGATCCTTCATACAGTAATTTCTCTTTTAAATTACCTTCTGAAGTTAAACCATCTCTTAACTCGACATAGTTCTGATGACTGTAAACTATGAAAACAAATAAATATTTACAAGGCAGCAAACATGTGAAATGTATAGCTGAGAAGAAATAAAACTTGTGGACTGTTTTAGTGTGGTAACATAACTAAAATTTACTTTATGAATATTTACCATGAAGCACGGGTAATGATCAAGCTAATGAGAGTCCACACAATAAATTTGTGAACAAACATAAATGGAAAGATAAAAGGAGAGATTTATATGTTGGGAATATTGATTTAGAAGCTGTTAATAAATTGTTCAAAAGTGTAAGTAATATACATTTAGATAATATTACACATAATAGTGTAAATAATATAGGCATAGATTTATGTCAAATATACTTGAATAAAGAATTTGTTCTTTATGTGAAGTAAATACAGTCGGCGATGAATATCACTACTTATTTAATTGTACTTATTTTATTACAGAACGTGAAAACTGTATATCCAGATATTATGATACAAGACCTAACACTTTTAAATATAATAAACTTTTTAATAAAAGCAACCAATCAATAACTATAAAATTATATATGTTCTTAAAGATAATACTTAACAAATTTATGCCCATTGACTAAGGAATTAAAAGCATCCATCTTGTAAATATGTAAATAACCTATTACTCTTATGTCATGTAATGTCATGTAATTGATCTGAGTTGTAAATAAACTTCTGTTCTGTTCTGGTACTGGTAGATCCAGGGAAGGGGGGGCAACTCAAAATGTCAATATTTCCTGATACATTTTTGAGACTCTCTAATGTATCAGAAACTCAAAGGAAGAGGATATTTTAAAATGAATTTGAGATTTCAGACGTTTACAACAAAATCTTGAGATCCATCTCTGCCTGACTGGTTAAGAGCCTTCCTTTATGACTACACAAAGGCAATGTGCCAAACATCTGATCACTTTTCAAAATACAAAACACCATTTAATCAGAAATAACCAGTCTCAAGTAAATAAAATAAACTTTACCTGGTGGAGTTGAATAAGCTTCTATTTTAGCAAGAATATTTGTATAACCAGGTTGTCGTTTTACTACCCATATACAATCATAATATTCACCAGCTTTTGGTGATGAATTAAACATTATGTATCCTCCATCACTGTTTAAAAAATAGCCACCACAATCTACAAATTAAACAAAATATTGTAAATGCAAGGTTTAACCATACAGAATTTTGAACTTCATTACATAATGCAACTTCTGAATGATTTCAAGACAGAAATGGTCCAGACAATGGTTAATACTTTCAGATACACAAATGAATAATATGACAAGGTGTCTTAAATAATGGCAAAATAACGTCCTCTCTCCTCAGATATTCAAAGCAAAAATTATCATTTGAATCTGTATATTGAATATTTCAAGGGAGATAACTACAAATAGCACACTCAACTAACTTACTTGTTTCAGTTTTTTGTGCATAATCACGATCTGTAAAATAAAAGTATAAAGAAGAATCTAGAAGGGATATTAAAATTGCCAGGCTTAGATGGATAAGTGAAGAGTTTTAGCCAGGAAATATTTTGGTTTCAATTGACACAATGTTGTGCATGCGTTATGTCTTCCAGAACAAGTTCTATACCACAGAGTTTAACATGTAGACTGATACTGTATTTATAATAAGTCACCTTTTGTATTTCTAACAAAAGTATGCCCAGAAAATCCACTTCAAAATTTTCACTGCCATTCATTTTGGGTAATGCACGAAAACTTTGCAAAATAAATTCATATTTTATGGGGTTTTTTCATGGTAGGGTATTGTGAATTCACGTGTCTATACCACTTTGTCAGCATGGTGTACACAAAAAATTATATACTGGACTTAAACTTTATTCTGTGTGTGTGAGTTTTTATTTTACGTCCGCTTCCACCGAGGTGATATTGCAGATATTATTCTGTACTGGCCGTACAATTTTATAGTTACATAACGGGGGGCGATCGTAGCTATGTTTGAAAATTGGGTTTAGAATAAAAGGCTATTTTTTTGGCGTTCAAAATGACCGATGGGTCAAATCTAGTTAAGGTCATTTTCCACAGCCCTCGGTCTTGACCAGCATAGGAATAGTTGTCAACTATTTAACTATTGGGAGTCGTAATTTCAGGTGATCTTAAAAATGAGTTACTGAACTCAACATTCAGAGAACCTGGGTAGTCAATGTTTCCATGTACAAAGTGTTAAAGGGTTAAAATAGAGATAATAATTCCGAACATAATTCTCAGGATGAAATGGCATTTGGTGTATCACTATCATAATACATAATTCCTTGTCAGCTTCGCAGGCACCACCACGTACAAGTGGGAATTGGAACTCCTTGGCCACACTTAGAATAATCTACTGGTAGTGGTGATTCTAGTTTCCTAACCGCCACTACCGTAGCCTCCTAAATAGTCTGAATTCATGCACTTTGATGCAGATGAGTGACTATAGTTAATAGAAATCAGTGTCAGTTTTAATCGATATTATGTAATACTTACTATTATAAAACTTGTAGGTAAGTTTAAAGCCCATATAACTTCTGACAGAATTACTTCTTAGATTACTACCAGGATAAAAATGTAATCTTAACATAGGTCCATTGGAAATAACAAATGGTCTATTAGCCGATCCGCCAATATTACCTTGTACATTAGTATAATCAAACTGAAATATAAAAATAGTAAACTAATAATACAGCATGTATTCATCATTGTTAAAATATTTAGTAAATTTCAAATCCTGCATCCATAGAAAAGGTTTTCTCTTGTAAAATAAATATGTTGACTGGCAACAAAACATGTGCCCGCAGCAGCCAAGTCGTCCAAGCAGTTCACAAAGGTTGTTGGATATTTGTTCCTTTGTAGAGTTTGAATGTAAAAAGGTGTATAACTCTATGGTATGCTTAGGTTCTTACTTTAACCCCTAATGAACAATATCACCAATTCAAAAAAATTCTACACATCATTCACAGACTTGCAAATTATAATGTAAATGGAAACATAACACTGAAATCACATAACTCAGCGATAAAAGAATTCAAGATTTCACCAAGTTTAAAGAAAATTCTAGCAACAGCTTTTTCCATTATCATGTTCACAAAACTGAAATTTACAATCCCAAAAACTAAATTTGTTATGGTTGTTCCATATCACCCAAATAACAATCCTTGCAACAGATCAGGCCTGTAAAGTGTTCACGTGGCTGGATGCCAGACTCAGGTGACGACAATATCAGTCAACATTAAAAGGAGGTGTGAGAAATAAATTCAAAATCCAAAAGAATTTTGTTTTACCCTAATTTTACTACTAGGTGACAGGTTCCAATCATCAAAAATAATCTGTATATATTCATTTTGATTGACAGCTCTAAACTCATACGAGTATTCTTCTCCATTCTGGTTATATGGATTAGGAAAGAATGGTGATTTCAAAATATTAGTACCGGTAGACACATTATCATATGATGAACCACGAATCTTTATCAATTTTTCTGTAAAATAATAATAAATAAACCAAAGTTAAATTTTTTGTATAATAATAGACAATGCAGCACAACCTTCTAAACAAAACACAGAACGACTCAGACAATGCAAATGGCAATGAAAAATGCTGAATTGCGATGGGTGGTACTCTGATTCCTACTGATGCATAACACCCATTATAACTTGGGTGCTAAGCTAAAGATTCAGAAATATCTCGACTCTGCATACAAAGAATTAGGTGACAAGGATGTAAAATCTATTTTTCAAGCACTGGCACATCAGTTTTGTTTTGAATGTAGTGTGGTTCTACGACACTATTTAAAAAAGGCCAGTAATGATGTAGAAATATGTTGATTAACACTGGTTATATTTCATATAATAATCAATTAATGGGTATGTATAATTATGTCCTATAGAATAACAAGAACTGTATAAATACCTTCAACTTTAAGAACAAGCCTAAAATGGATATCAGAGACATCACGGTCTTGATTTGAACAGAAAACAATATAGATAGTCTTGGATTCACTCTTAAAGTTTTTAATTTTTCTATCATAACAAACATCTGTTTCATTCCTATAATCTTTATCAAAGATACGTAAATATGTACACCTGAAATATACATATAATTCATATTATCTAGATGTAGTATGTAGATAACAGCTTGTCTGTAGGCAGAAACATAATTACCTACAATACATTTCACTTAAATTACTGGCTACTTTCAGGTTGTTAGTTTTTATTTACAAACTAGTATTAAGTGATATAAGCTTCTGTCCCAAATAAATATAAGATAAAAATGTTTAGTTTGGTGCTAAGTATACATCAGATGTTTGTTTTGAATCACTGGATACATTCTTTAAAATCAACAAATGTATTCCATTTCATTCCGAAAATAGCTTTTTTTTTTTCAAATTTACAAATTTCAAAAATTATCCATTAATACATGTGGGCGTAAAGGGTGCAAATTAAATGCCAAATTTCAAATCAATTGGATAATAACTTTAGCCACTATAGGACCCACAAGATTTTTAAAATGATCAGTTCAGGAACTCTGAAAGTAAGTTTCAGCTTCTTCATCACAACAGAAACAGTGTATAAATTTAAAGGTAATTAAAAGATAACTTTAGTATCAAGACACCAAATTCAAAAAGCAAATTAGCTTGGCACTGGGTATTGTACATGTACATATCTGTGTACAACACAGTAGAGATATTAAATTCTTACCCTTTAACACATTCAGTAATATCCTCAGTCATACAATTGTGCATCATACTACATTCCGGCAAATTGAAATATGGGTAGTCACTTGTTGTTACAGAGAATTTACAGTTGTTACATGTAGTAAACTTCATTAAACACATATGATGAGTATCACGGTTTGGGTTTGTTAGGTTGACAAACACCGTCACGTTACTACCAAGAGTTGGAAGAGTGTCCCCATTAGGTGCAACACCTTTCAATTTTTCACACAAATCCAGTACTGCAAAGATATAAATTAGAATACATTAAACATAAGAAATTTGTTTTGATTCGATTAGCACTCATAATGTTCAGTGGCTTCCCTTATCTTTTATGCCGTAGTAAGTTCTGTGCATAACAGGAAACAATGAAACTCTGCAATCAGTAAACATCACATGATTGTATATCCACCATATATCCTCAAAAAATACAAACAAAAACACCAAAATAGACTCCCACCCAAATGGGGTTCAGAATCCAAAACCCTCATCCTGCTCCCATCTCACCAGGCCTATAGCTAACAGTAGTGGATTAAGACAAGATCAAGATGTTGACAACCTGAATTGCAATTTGTTCCATTTAACACTAGCGTATAATCTAACAAATCAGTATAATATCAATAATCAATACTTTTATTTTTGACAGTAATCAAAGAGGGCTAGTTGTTTTATTTATTATACATGAATAGAAAATTTTTAATTTCCTTGAGTTTAAATCATAATGTATTAGGAGGATTAAATATTATACAGTTTTCAATGTTTTTTTCTTTATCAAAGAGTAATACTTTCAGCTTTAATGAAATGCATTGTGGATGTTTTCCACTGCTCTAAATAGAGATAATATAATTCAATATAATTTCTTTGCAATATGATATCAATTCAATATAATTTCTTTGCAATATCACGCAAAAATATTTTCTTTTACACGAAGAATAAAAGTATGGTTTTTATTTACAATAAAGCAATCTTGTGATTTGTTATTACTTACTTGGATTATATTATATTCATAATTTATTAACCCTACCTTACAAAACAAAATAATTGTCTAGATAGAAAAATTTACATTTATGTATAAACTTTTGATAAAAATATGGCTACTTACAAGGTTTCCTTTGAGATAAACAGCATGCAGGAAAAACAATTAAACCTAGAAATAATCACCAAACGTCTAATTATTTCATAATCAAATAATAAAATATATAAAGTTACATATGGTTATATATTTTATACTAAAAGAAAATTAAAAACATCATCACTCATTCCTTGTTACTGTTTTTTTTTCATCTATCCATCCTTCAACCCTTTTTTTCTACATGTAACTTCATGACATAAATTGAACTACTGTGTTCACTGAACTAATACATGTATCTAACTAGTATTGGAAGAACACACAGTGATTGAAATTGTTAAACTTGGTTAATCTTGAAGACATTCTCATATTTTTTTGACACACATTATTACCAGGCATAAATTATATGTCAAAATATGTATGTAGCTATGATAATGAAATTAATTATCTGATTTTGGGCTGTGTTTTGTACATATACAAGCACTTCTATAGTTTTACAAACGAAGAAGTATTATTTCATTTATTTGTCATACATGTTACAATAAAAACATAAATATAAAATAACAAAATACTACTTCAGTTTCAAAGTACAGGGAATAAATAATTTCAAATTAAAAACAAAGTTTATATATCCCTGTCCTTCAGCTTGAACTTTTCACTTGTTTGTAATATACTATTCAAAAAAAGTAGGGGATATTTGATTTTGGGGGCATAATACTAAAATATGCAAATGACTACGAAAAAAGTCACTATAGAACCTAACAGAAGAAACATTTCCAGTTACATGTGACGCCCAAACGCACCAATAGCTACCGCATGGAATGCAGGTGATGCTTGGGATCATCATGGAGGTCCAACCCAAGATTTGCACGACTCTGACTTTGAATGTTACAGTCATTGTGGCATTGAATTCCAGGGTGGAAACATCAGTTTAATTGTTTTAGTGACCAGAAAACAAATTTTGATATGCGTCGGCTTACCCAAAATGAAAGGTTACGTGCCCTTGGCATGCTACAGATCGGCACAACACAGGCGGTTGTGGCGCGAACGATGAATGTTTCTCAGTCTGTCATAAGCAGGCTATGGTCCAGATACCGTGATACACAATCTGTACAGGACAGACCACGCTCAGATCGACCAAGGGCGACAACTCAAACCCAGGATCAATTTATCCGTACCCTGGCCTTGAGAAATCGTGTCATCACAGCAAATCAGATCAGCGCTCGTCTTCAAACAGACACTGGTGTGAGAGTGAGTGGCCAGACGATTTGGAATCGACTGCATAGGGGTCACCTTCGCGCCCGACGTCCTCGCGTGATCCCTTGTTTGAGAGATCATCACATTCAGGCAAGACGTCGTTGGTGTAGGGATCGTCAACACTGGGATAATCGACGCTGGAGCAATGTGATGTTTTCAGATGAGTCAAGGTTCACTGTTGATTTTTTGGACAGACGTAGGAGGGTGTGGCGTCGTCGAAACGAGCGCTTCCAAGACGTTAACGTCATCAGACATGATCGATTTGGGGGTGGTTCTGTTATGGTGTGGGGAGGCATCACTGTTGCTGGAAGAACGGCTTTACATGTTGTTGCAGGGCGTGTTACAGGCCAGTACTACCGGGACAACATCTTGGCAGTCCATGTTGTGCCGTTCGCACGACGTCATGGCCGCCGTTTCATCTTCCAGGATGACAACGCAAGATGTCACAGGGCCAGGATCGTTACAGGTTACCTCCAACAACAGAACATCACCACATTACCTTGGCCAGCACTGAGTCCCGACCTCTCCCCCATCGAGCATGTCTGGGACATGCTTGGACAGAGGTTACGTCAACGTCAACAACGTCCTGCCAATGTCCAAGAACTTGCTGCTGCGTTGCAACAGGAATGGGACAATCTGGACCAAAATGACCTTAGACGTCTCATTAGGAGTATGCCACGTCGGATCAATGCTTGTTTGGCAAACAGAGGAGGATTTACCCGTTACTGACTTGGTTGTGATGCTGTGGTAACTTTGCTGTTTGACCCCGGGTATCATTTTACCCTTATAATGGTCAGTCTGTGCCTTACTTAGTCTAACGATCATTTGGAATAAATCGATGAATGTGAACTTCATTTCATTTTGTCATTTGTTTCTTCGTCAGTTTCATTAGGTGACTTTAATAACACTTAAAAATCAAATATCCCCTACTTTTTTTGAATAGTATAAATTAGGTGTGTGTCACATCAACTTGTGGATGTGACAGGGCAATGGTGAATGAGGTTACAAATAAAATCTGTCTGCCTTAGACAAAAATAAAACAACTTACAAAAACAAATCACTAACAATGTTCTACACAATCTAAAATCCATGTTGGTTCCGGTTTATCTTTTTTTAGATTGTTAAGTCTACCACAAGTACTTCACTCTGATGCATGTCATCTGAATAAAAAAGGATATTAAAACTTAATAAATTGGTTTAGGGTCATCGTTCAACTAGAAATGGTGAAATTTAATATCATGACATATTTTATCCATGAATAACAAATATTTTTTTACTGTGATGGGACCAGGGGCATAATGTGTGTGTGTTTGTTTGTTGGGGGGGGGGGGGGAGTGTTACTCCTCCCTCCCCCCCAGGAAAGATAATTATCAGTCTCTAAATAAGTGTAGTCATTGCAGTCAGTCTGAAAATTATTCATCAAATTAATGATATAAACAAACAATGCCAAAATAGAAGGGAAAAATCCCAAATACTTAATATATCTGTGTATACGTTTGACTGCTTTGGTTGGATATCACAATATGCACCAGTTTCTCAAAGCTCAAATTAGTAAAAACTGTTATGCATTTAGTAAAGAAACAGGAACGCCTCACTGAACTAATGACTCTTGTGTGTGTGTGCGTGACCTGACAGACACTATTGATCTTGTCAAAATCACCGACCGGCGGTCAAACTTGACTAAGCGCGGCCACGGACGCTTGTTGAAAATATGGGGACATAGTCATATCTTTGAAATTTATGTATATTCACCTCAACAATATACTATTCAAAAAAAGTAGGGGATATTTGATTTTGGGGGCATAATACTAAAATATGCAAATGACTACGAAAAAAGTCACTATAGAACCTAACAGAAGAAACATTTCCAGTAACATGTGACGCCCAAACGCACCAATAGCTACCGCATGGAATGCAGGTGATGCTTGGGATCATCATGGGGGTCCAACCCAAGATTTGCACGACTCTGACTTTGAATGTTACAGTCATTGTGGCATTGAATTCCAGGGTGGAAACATCAGTTTAATTGTTTTAGTGACCAGAAAACAAATTTTGATATGCGTCGGCTTACCCAAAATGAAAGGTTACGTGCCCTTGGCATGCTACAGATCGGCACAACACAGGCGGTTGTGGCGCGGACGATGAATGTTTCTCAGTCTGTCATAAGCAGGCTATGGTCCAGATACCGTGATACACAATCTGTACAGGACAGACCACGCTCAGGTCGACCAAGGGCGACAACTCAAGCCCAGGATCGATTTATCCGTACCTTGGCCTTGAGAAATCGTGTCATCACAGCAAATCAGATCAGCGCTCGTCTGGTGTGAGAGTGAGTGGCCAGACGATTCGGAATCGACTGCATAGGGGTCACCTTCGCGCCCGACGTCCTCGCGTGATCGCTTGTTTGAGAGATCATCACATTCAGGCAAGACGTCGTTGGTGTAGGGATCGTCAACACTGGGATAATCGACGCTGGAGCAATGTGATGTTTTCAGATGAGTCAAGGTTCACTGTTGATTTTTTGGACAGACGTAGGAGGGTGTGGCGTCGTCGAAACGAGTGCTTCCAAGACGTTAACGTCATCAGACATGATCGATTTGGGGGTGGTTCTGTTATGGTGTGGGGAGGCATCACTGTTGCTGGAAGAACGGCTTTACATGTTGTTGCAGGGCGTGTTACAGGCCAGTACTACCGGGACAACATCTTGGCAGTCCATGTTGTGCCGTTCGCACGACGTCATGGCCGCCGTTTCATCTTCCAGGATGACAACGCAAGATGTCACAGGGCCAGGATCGTTACAGGTTACCTCCAACAACAGAACATCACCACATTACCTTGGCCAGCACTGAGTCCCGACCTCACCCCCATCGAGCATTTCTGGAATATGCTTGGACAGAGGTTACGTCAACGTCAACAACGTCCTGCCAATGTCCAAGAACTTGCTGCTGCGTTGCAACAGGAATGGGACAATCTGGACCAAAATGACCTTAGACGTCTCATTAGGAGTATGCCACGTCGGATCAATGCTTGTTTGACAAACAGAGGAGGATTTACCCGTTACTGACTTGGTTGTGATGCTGTGGTAACTTTGCTGTTTGACCCCGGGTATCATTTTACCCTTATAATGGTCAGTCTGTGCCTTACTTAGTCTAACGATCATTTGGAATAAATCGATGAATGTGAACTTCATTTCATTTTGTCATTTGTTTCTTCGTCAGTTTCATTAGGTGACTTTAATAACACTTAAAAATCAAATATTCCCTACTTTTTTTGAATAGTATATATTGAAGATATAGTTTCATGTAAATATTATCACTTTCAGAAGTTGTCACAGATTCACTGTACTTTGTACGTTCTTGCAAAATTCTTAATAAATAACCTGAATTCCCATGTTTAGTACTCAATTTTACTTATACATGTTATGTTTTCTGACCATCAGAATTCTGAAAAATCTTCCCCCAAAGTCCAGGAAATGGTATTTTAGGGACTCTAACATGCCCCTGGAGTCGCGCCCCCCCCCCCTACAAAGGTCGCGCCTGTGGTGCTTGGCTTGTGGCTGTGTTACTTGTATTAGGGGTCTGTGCATGAGTAGGTCTCATTTTTACCCAACACCCAACCAAACAAAATTGATAAGTACGCCTCTATATGACATGTTAATGTTCACAAGTGTATTATTTAAGTACGTAAAGCTAGAAATAATTGTCTGTAATATGTTAGTAGTAATCTTAGATCAATCCTCTTCGAAAGCAACACATATTGGTCTGAACAAAATAGCTTAAGGTATGTGTATATATGTTAACTGGCTGTTGTTCAAATAAACAGTTCACAAAATGAATTGAGGAAATGTTTCCTCAATCCACCAGTTAACAACATATTCTACATACCGGTACTCCTAACACAAGCTAAAGGACACTAAAGGTAGTCTTTATCTCCACCCATCGTAGGACATACAGAATTCTACATACATATATGACTGATGCTATTCTGTCCAGATAACTATTTTCAGTAGTTAAGACAATGACAATTTGGGAGGAAGCAAAATAATTGATGGTTGCCTACATGTATATTTCATACAGCAATTTCTTTTACATGTATATCAACCAATTTTAAACTCTGGTCTATACCAGCTCAAAAATTTTTTAGTTCATCAGTTTGGGCATTTTCTGAAGTCATTAAAAGGAAAGAACTGATTTCATATGATTAGATTTTATGTGTAAATAATCAATTATTTAGTGACCAAGCTACCTATCCATTTAAAATATCATGTTGCTAATATATGCAAGAGTTGAGATATAAGCACCTGATGTTTCAGCTGTCATAAATTATATGTAGTAAAAATAGGTGTAAATTTGTTTTTAGACTATTCAGCTTGTTCTATACAAATAAACCAGGATTCAAGTACCGGTATTTGTCTAGACAACTAAAATAATTGAAAACCTAGTGACAAGTTTTATTATAGAGTAATAAATTAATAATATTAATATGTTTTCTTTTGGTAATGATTAATAACCTATATACCGCCACATGAAAACTGAATATATAACAAAACTTTTCATAAATTTTACAAAAACTAATGCATCAAACTATTTACTATAAAAGAAGAGATGATTTGTAGGTATCATCTGTATTATATATAATATTAGGTCTATATCTAACATAGAGATAGGTGCAATAGATTTTTGTGTTCAACTGTAATTAGTAAATAAACTGAACACTGACTGCCGTGCCGCTCAATATTTCGAAACCAAAATTTAATCATACACATCTTTTGTATATCACAAAGCTGGTCAACTCTTATTGATTACTTTTATTCTCAAATAAAATCAAAGAGTTTTATCTCCTTTAAACTTATTTTTACTATTGTTCTTTTCAATGTCCTGGAGGTGTTTACATTGGTGACATCCTGCATAGAAATTAGAATCAGCCATTTATTCCTATGGATCGCAATATAGTGCCTACACTTCAGTATTTTCTTTCATACTGTCTGCATCAATAACAATCTATATTAAATAATAGTGAAAAGGAAATGGGGTGTAATGTCCAGACAACACTAATTATTTCAATAATTTGTAAACGCACAGGGGTCTATATATAGATAGAAGTAGGTGGGAGAACCAGACTACTTAGACCAGTGGTGGGCAAAGTGCAGAAAAAATGCTTTGTTCTGTATTACTTTATTCAATAAAATGACATTACATAATCCTTGTTTGGACCTCGCTTTGTTTCAAAACTTTGTGTTTGTCCCTTCACCTAACAAGTTTGCCCACCACTGACTTAGACAATACCCATTAGGTTAGACAGGTGATCCTACTCCTGGTGCACTAGAAAGACTCTGTGACCCACCCACTCACCCAATTTATATAATGAAAATGATAATTTAACACAAACTGCCTTTACAACAAAAAATTTCATTGTGTCATTACCTTCCCTTCTCCACTCCGACACGATTCCTTAAATGTAGCATTTATATAGCTGTAGTCTGATTATTCTTCTAAGTTAACAAGAAACAAATTTATAATCTATGTACCTATTAGTAAACACACAACTTTATTACTTAGAGAATTCATAAGAGCACTGACGATTTTTCCATTGTTTAAGCATATATGTAAATCTGAAGAAACATTATATCTTATAATAATTACTACTCAACTGGTACTCAATAAGATAACATCATCTAAACATTTAACTACCAGTAAACACTTTGGCAGCTGGAGATACACTTGACTAATAACCTCTTTAATTATACTATTTTAAAGATTTTTGTAACCGTCATGAAACACTGATATAGGCTATAACAATCAATAACATGAATACTTACTGTGTTACACTAATTAAAACTCCTTAATTATAATAACCATTGTCGAGTTCTAGTTGAAACTGTTCCAAGTTATCTTTAGTTGTTTTCTCTTGTTTCTCACCATGAGTTTAAGCTTTGATTAGTTGCGATTTGAAGCCAGCTGAAAAATGTAAAAGTAAATTTGATTTGGTTGGAGAGTAAATGAAATCTGTTTGCTCTACAAGCAAAGTAAATGTGCACTGAAGGTTAGACTTGAAATATAGAGACTGGATGTTCTTTCTTTCTTCGTGGTAGCAGACAGGTAATGCCATGAGCAGACAACACTACCATTGACATAAAACTAAACAATATAACAACTTAACCCTTACTATATTTAAATCTCTATGTCGTCTGGGTATTAGTTATTTATCATAAATATTATTCTAGATCTACTGTCTCAGCCATCTGTTTTATAAATCAGAAAATTTGATTTACTCCAAAACCTTCACTACTAAACTTATTGGTGTCATCTTCAGTTGCTTAAAATTGATTAAATATTCCCTCAAATAAAAAAGTTATCTCTGCCATCCATAGTGATCACATCCTTGGGCTGGACAATAATTTCAATAAATCAATATATCGTAATATGTAAATATGATTGACAGTATCTTGTTTACCAATAAAAATACTGCAATAATCCAATATATCGTTTGACTCAAGATTATCGCCATTCCTCCAACAATATTCTCTCAAAGATTATTTTATTGAAACAAAGTATAAATCAGACTGGTCATACATGGTACATAAGAATTCAAACTTCATAAATCAATACTCCATGAAACGGTATTAAGTAAGGCATAAGTTTTGTGTATAACTAGAGCTGGACAATAACTTTTATAACTCAAAATATCAGAATATGTAAATTTATAGACAATTTTTTTGACACCGCAATAATCCAATATATCACTAGTTTAGTGACACTAGATCCTATCTCTCTTTTCCTAATCATATATCCTCTGAATGAATATTATATTTTATACATAATAGCTTGACCTTACAATGATTTAAATTTACATGCTTCTCATAGACATCTGTTTGAATGGTTTGCCATCTTTTTTCAAGCCTTTTGCCTTGAAGCAGTATAATATTGCAATTAAATGGTAATATTAATATATTGTAGGTTTTTATATTGAAATCGCAATAATGAAAATTTCAAATATCGTCCAACTGAGTCCAGTCCTATCACATCCTAGACGAAACCTATTTCTGATTTTAAAGTAGATAGTTATGACAGTAGATGATAATCATGTATATGATGTAAGAATAGATTGTCTATGGCACAGCTATTATCATAATCTTCGTACTATACTTAATCCTATTAACACTATTAGTGAAATTAGTCTACATGTACCAGCTGCACAAAATGTCAAACTCTATGTAGGCGTGAGTGTTAAAATAATCCATGTAGAACACTGTCCTGTTTAAATAAACAAAAACAGAAATAACACAAAAGTTTGCAAGTAGAACATTATTTTTTAATCTTACACTAAACTGAACAATCCTGTCATATTTAAAAACGATTCCACCAAACTCTTTAATGTATTAAGAATAAGATTATACAAAGCAGAATTTTTTAGTGGACAAATTCAGGATTTCATTTTCATTTCTTTATTTTGAGGTAGTCTGATGAACAAATCTACCAAGTTATAACATACATTACAAAGATCTATTAAATTTAATTAGAGAAATAAGAAAAAATTCTGCTACATGTATGTGTACTGTGTAGGTTCCTTCAAAGTACAGACATATTCTAAATGAAGTGCAATTAATAATATTCAAAGTGTTTTATAAACAGAATTCTGTCAGAATCGATCATAATTGTTTAATAAGTTGTTAAAACATCCTACCAATGTGACTGAGACTTATTTGATTATAATGTCTACTTTAAAAACAGTGTTCCCGTTTACTTCAATACATGGTCAAAAGCTGTTTGTTCAGTCTTGGTAAAACTACTAACTTTGATGTCTGACCCTGATAGTAAGTGTAGAGTGACCAGTGGCAACTTATCTGGATATAAACAACCAGTTTAACTTTAAATATCTAGTTCATGATGACCAAAATGCTCTTAATAACACACAGTTCAAAATATACATAAGAATAAGATAATGACCTACTGACACATCACGGTCACAAAAACTGGCTACTAATTAGTACTAATTGATTGAGATTGAATAAGGACAGGTCTACTGACCTTGATGATATTTACTAACTGAAGTGGTGGTCAGTTAAAATAATTTCACAGACAGAGCGTTCAATTTAAAGTAGCTAAGTCTCTAACTCAATATCATCCAAAATCTTCGACATTGAAAACACAATTTATTTGTCGGTTTAAATCAACATTGATGTTGTGTTCTTACCGGGAAAAGATGGCCTTCTGATATCCAATATTTAAGACAAAATAAACATTTTACAATTGGTACACGAATCGTGTACCATAATACGTTTCAGCACTATTTGTAATAAGTGACTCGAAAAACGAGGCTAGGCATATTCCACAAGTCATGTCAAACGGTGACGCTATATTCTTATCTGGAGAGCATGCCCAATAAATACTATCGGCGTAGGCTGGAATAACCAGTCGCTAGAGATTGAAATTCGATTGAGAATACTGGCGTATTTCGCTGAACCTAACTGATTAGAAATTACAGTAAAAACAGAAACGATTGAATGTAAATCAATTTATATACATTCATATATTGTATGCGTTGCGACCCGTTTGTGTCAATTTCTAGGTCCCAAAAATTAGCGACTTAGCTCCTTTAAGTTAAAAAGTCTGAATTTCACAGGGTGGTGTGCACATAAAATAACCCTTGACAGTTGGAATTCATTGCTGTCCAGGCAAAATTTAGGACCTTTTATTCGATAATCATAAACAAATTCTAACCATGCAAGGGTCATTTGATTTAGACTGACATTTTTTTTATAAAAAAAATGCCAATGTACACCAGTCTCATACTGCAACAACTTCCAAGTTCAAAGTCAAATTATATTTACATTACATTGTGTTGAGGGCTAATTTCTTGATCATATCCTTACTATCATCGTTCCACTTGGATGGCATAAATGCTGACATGCTCGTCATTATCTTGCAATCTTTAAGAGTGAGGAGAAAACTGCTTATTCAACTCATTTCCCAGCATATCCAATAATGGATAATACAATGATCATCCCACATTGGATTCTGTATCATGATCATTGGTATGATTAAATCATCAGTGTCTCTTGTGTCGTGTCCAGGATGTGTGGTAACGTTTCTCGCTAGTGTTGAAATCTGGTCTATACCACAAAGTTCACATGTCGTTGTGGCTTTGTCTAGAAACTCCACAAATTTCTCTGGGGTTCTCAAAGAGGCTATGTAGCTTTTCAGAGTGGTAACTGCAGTACATAGCCAAATCTATATCCTCGTCTTGCAGTTATTCAGAGGTATACCTTAACATGTAGACCGTTCGAATATATCTCTAAGTACTATTGTTTTCAGAATAAATTCCAAAGTTCCAATTTAGTCCCGGGCAAGTAACATCAACATCCTGCAATTCCTCGAGTGTGGCTACTATATGTAGTAGCGCTGGAAGATGTATTGTTTAACAAAGCAGACAGGTAGTCCAGACGCCTTCTTGTGTATCTAAAAATGATCTCAACGATTGAAATATTGTGAATTGATGGCTCTTGCAACGCTTAGGAGGATTCTCTGCATACCCTTGTCAGTTTGTAGTGTCTCTTAGTCTTACCCCCCATGCCCTACCCAATTTTCTTTGCATTTTTCTGCAAATCCCAGTAAGCATACTTTTAAAGTTACAATTTCATATTTTCTAAGAAAGTCAAAACATAATTATTTCTATGTCTTTTGTTCAATAGGTTTTCAACTCACTATTATACGATCATAGGTTATCTTTCTCACACTGAAAAATCTTCACACCGGAAATAATAACACAATTACCTCCCTTGTTTTCCTATTCGCTACCATGGAATAGCTATCTTCAAACGTTTGAATCTAAGATTGAAAATGATATTTTTGCCAATTTCTCAACTGGCAATAGTGAATTATAGGATTATTCTTTAACAAGGTAGGACTGTTTATAGATACCATCTATTTTAGAGCTTCATTTTAATACATTTTAAAAATATAACTTAAAATTATGAAATTGTAACTTTAAAAAGTTGGGGGTTGGTTAGCTACGAGAACGTAACTAAAAACGCTGAGATACACTGATGTGCTTGTTTTTACTTTAGCTACGATTGGATGCCTTTAGTTCCAAGTGGCAAACTCAATTTCTTTATTAATGCATGTACCATCTTAAAAATAAGTTAATTTTATACTATTAGTAGTTATTACACATATGCAGTCCAATCTACTGAAACAACATTCATTTATCAGCAAATATTGACAATAATGTAAATCAAGCGTTGTTTTTATCAAAATTGATTCGGACATTCATAATAATGTTGTAATACTACTGCGCAACTCTGATCAGCTATTGCACACGAGGCCCCGCCTTTATGTGTTACAGACGTAAATTTAAAATGTCGGAAAAAGCAATCTATTGTCGCTTTGATTTAAAAAGAGGGGATTTGTACCCGTTTCAGGTAGGATTATATCCTTAATTGTAGTTGGGTGTGGCAGAAATATTATAAATAACAATAATTGATTAAAAATATTGTCAATTTTGTTTACAAGTGCCGGGTGCGAATCACTTTCGCATATCACATGTGCTACCTTTAAAGTAGCTAAGTCCGTAACTCAATATCATCCAAAATCTTCGACACTGAAAACACGATATTTTTTGCAATTTAAATCAGCTTGGTGTTGTGATCTTACCTGGAATAAATGGGCTTCTGATATCAAATATTTAAGACAAAATAAACACTTTACCATTGTTACACGAATCGTGTACCATAATGCATTTCAGCGCCATTTGTAACAAGGTGCTAAAAGAATGAGGCTAGACATATGCCACAAGTCATGTCAAACTGTGATATCATATTCTTATATTTGGAGAGCATGCGCAATAAATAATATCGGCGTTGACTGAAATAACCAGACGCTAGAAACTGACTTGCGGTTGAGACTTCTGGCGTATTTAGCCGAACATAACTGATGACAATTCACAGTAAAACGGACACGATTGAATGTAAAACAGTTTATATAAATTCATATTACATTATAATATGTGTTGCGAGCCATTTGTGCCAATTTCTAGGTCCAAAATATTAGCGATTTAGCTCCTTTAAGTTAATGGCACCATTTCTTATCTCAAAACACAGAGGGTTGAGTCTTAGTCAAGTTGAGAGATAAGGTTTGTTATCTAGGGGTTGGTGTGTTACCATATATAGATAGCCTAGGTGAATATCATAATATGATGCACTTGATGAAATGATTGATTATTTTACAATACCGCCGTGTCTTCGGCGCACTCACGTCACGAGTCACGACACTAATATAAATGACTGTTTACTTACTAAGCAAAATCTGAAACAAAATACTTTGGCAGTATAGTAATAGTAAACATATAAAGTTGTTACACTAGAGAGTTAACCCTAGACAGAGAAAGATAAAACATTCACTTTTACCTTCATCCGTGTGATAGTTCGAGATGTCCCAGGAATGACTTTTATTAGCCTGTTTCATTATTTGTTCCGGGGGTGAAATACGTCATAAAAAGTTACATACGCAAAATTCGATGACGTTTTCCTCATAGCTTTCGTGGATTCAGACCACTAAATTTCCTAATTTCGCTCAAAATCCTGGAACATCCGTATTATTAGCACATCGTATAGGGTTGCATTTTTCAAATATCATATTGTAGTTAGGTTAATTAATATCTGAACCACAACAATCCATAACAGTTTCATTAGATCGCCATTGCTCTAAATCCATTCGTAGAAACCATGCAATAATTATAATGAAGTTACTTCCCCTAGACCACTTCAAACGGTTTCACCTCACTGTTGTAATGTTAATTCTCGTATCTTAGACCGGTTCTAACTTTTTTTCCAAATTTTCGTTGGGTAGAACGCTTTTTGCCACAGATGGAGCAACATGTGGCAAACTCTTTCCCAAATGCATGTATGAGGTTCACCATGAAAAACTTGAGATATACAAGCTGAAAGTAGCTAGAGATAAAAAAAAAACCATGTAATTTTCAGCCCTACATATCAACCTAATCAACCTCTCAACTCTTGTATCTTTCAGCCTCAAAATCATGAATATTCACCAAAACCTGGCAGAAAATGTATTTTCAAACCCTTTTCTTCGATTTCATACCAAAAAGTCAACAAAAATCGCCATGCAAAATGGTGAAAAAGGGAAAGGGAGAGAAAGACTAAAAATAACTTTCGCCCTACATTCGTAGAAATATTTGGTGATCTGTGTGCCCTGTTATAATAAATAATAGCAAATGGTTTTAAGACACTTAATCTTAAAAGTATAACAATTTACAATAAATTTTAACATTCAATTTTTGTCATCCACTTTTTGAAGGACTTGTCCGTTTGTTTTTTTTTTTTGTTTGTTTTTTTTGATTGCAATTTTTCTGCTTCCGGTTCAAGGCTTACTTTGGCTTACAAGGCCGATTCGTTATAGATGAGTGTTTGGAACCACATAATTGGTTCAACCTTCGAATCTGCTGTTTTATCGGTAGTCTTGATGATGCAAAGGGTTTGCAACGAGAGTGACGTTGGACATCCGCCTCCACGATGGTGATATCGCAGACAAGTAGCTAGGAGTTGTAGAAACTTGAATATTAAGGTCTCAATCATACCAAGAAAAGGACTCAGGAGCGGATCCAGGAATTTCTGCAGGAGGGGGTTTACCAGGTGCCTGTTAAGGCAATATAACATTTGACTATGCATGATGCTATCATCGTCTCCAAATTACACTGAGCTTTTTACAAAGAGAAATCCAACACCCCGTTTGACGTCAATTTTTATTATGAATTAATAGGATCACATTGCGTTTCAATTTCATTATCTCGGGCTTTGAATGCCAATCACATCCCACCATCTGATGATAAAATACACGATACACGACCGCGATCCTTTTCTTATAAAGTGTTGTTTTACAATTTTATTTTATGTAGCTGGAGGGAGGTTTGAGCCCGCCAACACGCCCTGGATCCACCCCTGCTCTTGGCACCCCTTCTGCGCAGTATGGTTTACACTATTACAGCCCAGATCTGATCGATATGTCTTAGGCTCAGGAGGGCGGGTTAACCCCCATTGCTGTCTGAAGTGATTGTAATCATAGGTACGCGTACGAGAGCACGATTAGCTGCAATATTTGTAGAGGTGTAGACTACTTGTCTTGTCGCTACATTTGATACACTCTTTGAGGCTTTGTGCAAGTAAAATAACTCCAATTGCAAAATTTTCAACACACATTATCACAGTTTGCATGGAAATACGTAGTCTAATTATGTTACAAGTAGTGAAGAGTGGAACACTGAAATCTTAATCTTATCTTACCGAACAGTTTTTCTATATATTCGAGGTGATATGAAATCACGAGCGTGTTCTAATTCTGGTTTGGCGGCTATTTTAATAACGACAGAAATTTCGCCTACCGTTCGATTTTTATTAAATTTATGTGGTAAGGTTTCACCTTTATTTCAATGGAAATTGGTTTATGTTAAGCTATGTGCAGTACAATTGAGCGGGGGGGGGGGGCAGTGTAATTGGGATTTGAGAGAGTTATAGGCCAGTAACTTTTTTGTAGTTAAATTACTACAAAGCTTGCTCAAAGGAAGTCCTTAAAACGATCCACTACTGTGGCAGGAGCAAGACGGAAGATATCAGGCCCCGAGTTCACAAAGCATTATCAGACTTAAGTTAAGAATTTACTCAACTTTCAATCACTGTTTATAAGAAATATCTTTGATCCTGAAACACAAAACTTTGCACATAGTTTCTTATTGATGTATTTGATACATTAAAACAACAAAAGTGTTATAAAGGGCTATATTTTAGTCAAAATAAGGCAAACAATTTTGAGTAAATTCTTAACTTAAGTCTGAAAATGCTTTGTGAACTCGGGTCCAGTATTCAGCAGTGGAATCATTTCTAGAGCTCGATAAACTTTTTGGAGGGGGCTGCGGGGGGGGGGGCAGAAATGAAAGTGCCCGAAAAAATATCGCGTCGCCGAAAACAAATCCTGTTTAGATTTGTATGTTAAGAGCCGCGGCGCTTAAACATGCATTATGCAAGAGCAAAATCTGCTTATTACAAGTCTTTCTTTAGGCCTGAAATGTTATCTAAATTATCAATTAGACATTAATTAACTTATCCAGACCATAATAAACTCTCGATGTCAAGGCTAGCCTTCGATGTAGGCTGGATTAGATTCCTATATGCCGCTAACGACCAAAGATAATTAAATCAGAAAAAGTGGATAATCGAGACTATGCTGTTTATATTAATGATTTTTAGTAATGATAACTGAGACTATGCAAAAATTTCACCGGCTTCTTTCTCGGCTCATAGTGGATCAATTTGACTGAAATTTTCAGCAAATTACCTTTACACTATCTAGTTTTTAACTATTATAGCGAGAACTGCCATCTCTTTATCTTATCTCCCATAATGTATCTTTAAGTCGGGAGAAATGTTGGGGCACGTCCCCCCAGAATATTAATGAAAATTAGAAGGCGGCAAACTTTACGCGTTTTCCTGCTATTCTGGCTCGTGGCAAGATATAGCCTTATTTTTGTGGCCCTGGAACCTAAAGCCCACTCTGTCCATCCACCTGAAGTCCAGATGTTGCGAGAGAGGTGGCAGAAATGAAATGGCCCGGCTCCGGCAGAGCCGGTCACCAGTTCGCGGGGTATAATGGCAGCGATATCCACCCCGGAAAATAATATTTTAAAAATATTACCTGTAGCCCAGGGGGTCGATAAAATATTAATCCAGATCTGATAGTGGAACGCACTGAAAAGAAATGAAATGGGCTTTAACTTCCTACTGTTCTGCTTTGACTGGGCTAATCAAGATGGGCGTACGCTATGCAGTGTGTCGAGGACAATTTTGCCCGGACAGCGGCACTACGGCATCTCTTGTATGAAATTCCAACTGTCAAGGGATCTTTTACGTGCACGCCAATGTATACACGGGACCTCGGTTTCTCGTATCATCTGAATGACTAGACAGCTGTCCTTGTGAGGTCCACCGTCCTGCACCACTGACAACAGGAAATGGTCTTGTATCGAATACCGGAAAATATAAAGGTTGAAGTTTTCATGTTTGTGCAAATGTAATAGTCCCTATTCTGAATTGTGTTAATAATATCTTGTAATTGAGGACAATTGACGGTCGTTGGTGGTCAATTATAAAGAGGCGGTGGTCATTTTCTGTCGTCGGTGAAAAGCTACCGTGAACGAGGGGCATTAGGGCTAATCAAACGAAACACTGCGGGGAGTATGATTCCAGCCGTGTGGACGAAAATACAGTTTACAGAGAGGACTGGTGGAGAAATGGGGTTTAACGTGATATAGGGATTAACATATGGTTCGTTGCACGTAGTTTAGAATAGGGGATACCGGAGAAACCTAGGAGGTTGGATAGGCGGCCCTTATATACTTCTTGTCACGTATAGGCGGGAAATAAACCACGCCAATACTTGACTCGGTGACAGATCTTTGATCTAAAGCACACGCATTAACCATCACACCCTCTCAAGTCGGTTCTATAGTATATGTAGGGCCTTCATAATTAGTTCCTTTAGGAACGGCTTCTGGTCGGACCTGCTGATGATACGGAAGTGTTCAATATAATTAAATCAAAAGATGATCAGAAACAACTTCAGAACAACTTTTGAACTCACTAGCAAATTGGAGGGACACTTGAATCGTCAAGTTCCATCCAGACAAGTGTAAACATATGCGCATTGGAGGACAACACCAGGGGCGGATCCAGGAATTTTTACAGGAGGGGGTTTGCCAGGTATTTGAGAGTTGACAATGCATGATGCCATCATCGTTTCCAAATTACGTAGGCATACATACACACTGTGCATTTTAGAGAGAGAAATCCAACACCCCGTTCGACGTCAATTTTTATTATGAATTAATAGGATCACGTCAATTGCGATATCACATATGTCTATATCATTATCTGGTACTTTGAATGTCCATCCCATCCACCATCTGACGATAAAGGATAAAGCCGTGACACTTTTCTCGTAAAAATGTTGTTTTACACATTTTTTAAGTAGCTGAGCTGAGCTGAGCAGGGGTAGAGGGTGGTGGTACTTTACGACGTTTTGTTAACCTTTAAAGATCACAGCAAATTGCAGAGATTTCATTGGCCGATAAGTGGGCCAGTTGTTATTTGCCAGTTGTCATCACTGAATCCGCGACAAAATAAAATCCAGAATTAAGAATATAATTTGGATATCTGTTTTGCAATTTTTCCCGTGTTTGAGCTCGTTTTGGGAACTTGGAAATTTTATTGAATTTTTAAAATACTTTTAGCCACAAGACCGATGGGTGGAACAAAAAGTCATAAAAATCTGGCCTATACCTAAGATAACTTAACGAACTTCGATGTTCACTTCAAGAAATACAATCAAATTTTAATATATCTATCATGCCTCGGGGTGGCTCTAGAAATGGTTCCACATCTGATGTCTTCCTTATTATCACGGCCACAAATATTGCAG